CTAACCCAGATCTTCACGGGTAGACAAGCATGGGTTGCTGAAGATCAGTTCTAACCCAGATCTTTACGTGGTTGACAAGCATGGGTTGCTGAAGATCAGTTCTAACCCAGATCTAAACAGGCAGACAAGCATGGGTTGCTGAAGATCAGTTCTAACCCAGATCTTCACGGATAGTCAAGTTTGGGTTGCTGAAGATCAGTTCTAACCCGGATCTTCACGGATAGTCAAGTTTGGGTTGCTGAAGATCAGTTCTAACCCAGATCTTCACGGGTAGACAAGCATGGGTTGCTGAAGATCAGTTCTAACCCAGATCTTTACGGGTTGACAAGCATGGGTTGCTGAAGATCAGTTCTAACCCGGATCTAAACAGGCAGACAAGCATGGGTTGCTGAAGATCAGTTCTAACCCAGATCTAAACAGGCAGCTAAGCATGGGTTGCTGAAGATCAGTTCTAACCCAGATCTTCACGGATAGTCAAGTTTGGGTTGCTGAAGATCAGTTCTAACCCGGATCTTCACGGATAGTCAAGTTTGGGTTGCTGAAGATCAGTTCTAACCCAGATCTTCACGGATAGTCAAGTTTGGGTTGCTGAAGATCAGTTCTAACCCGGATCTTCACGGATAGTCAAGTTTGGGTTGCTGAAGATCAGTTCTAACCCGGATCTTCACGGATAGTCAAGTTTGGGTTGCTGAAGATCAGTTCTAACCCAGATCTTTACGGGTTGACAAGCATGGGTTGCTGAAGATCAGTTCTAACCCAGATCTAAACAGGCAGACAAGCATGGGTTGCTGAAGATCAGTTCTAACCCGGATCTAAACAGGTAGACAAGCATGGGTTGCTGAAGATCAGTTCTAACCCAGATCTTCACGGCTAGACAAGCATGGGTTGCTGAAGATCAGTTCTAACCCAGATCTCACGGGTTGACAAGCATGGGTTGCTGAAGATCAGTTCTAACCCAGATCTCACGGGTTGACAAGCATGGGTTGCTGAAGATCAGTTCTAACCCGGATCTAAACAGGTAGACAAGCATGGGTCACTGAAGATCAGTTCTAACCCTGATCTAAACAGGCAGACAAGCATGGGTTGCTGAAGATCAGTTCTAACCCGGATCTAAACAGGTAGACAAGCATGGGTGCTGAAGATCAGTTCTAACCCAGATCTTCACGGGTAGACAAGCATGGGTTGCTGAAGATCAGTTCTAACCCAGATCTAAACAGGTAGACAAGCATGGGTTGCTGAAGATCAGTTCTAACCCAGACCTTCACGGGTAGACAAGCATGGGTTGCTGAAGATCAGTTCTAACCCGGATCTCACGGGTTGACAAGCATGGGTTGCTGAAGATCAGTTCTAACCCGGATCTAAACAGGTAGACAAGCATGGGTCACTGAAGATCAGTTCTAACCCGGATCTAAACAGGCAGACAAGCATGGGTTTGCTGAAGATCAGTTCTAACCCGGATCTAAACAGGTAGACAAGCATGGGTTGCTGAAGATCAGTTCTAACCCAGATCTAAACAGGTAGACAAGCATGGGTTGCTGAAGATCAGTTCTAACCCGGATCTAAACAGGTAGACAAGCATGGGTCACTGAAGATCAGCCCTCCCGGATCTAAACAGGTAGACAAGATCAGTTCTAACCCAGATCTTCACAGGTAGACAAGCATGGGTTGCTGAAGATCAGTTCTAACCCAGATCTTCACGGGTAGACAAGCATGGGTTGCTGAAGATCAGTTCTAACCCAGATCTTCACAGGTAGACAAGCATGGGTTGCTGAAGATCAGTTCTAACCCAGATCTAAACAGGTAGACAAGCATGGGTTGCTGAAGATCAGTTCTAACCCAGATCTTCACGGGTAGACAAGCATGGGTTGCTGAAGATCAGTTCTAACCCAGATCTTTACGGGTTGACAAGCATGGGTTGCTGAAGATCAGTTCTAACCCAGATCTAAACAGGTAGACAAGCATGGGTTGATGAAGATCAGTTCTAACCCAGATCTTCACGGGTAGACAAGCATGGGTTGCTGAAGATCAGTTCTAACCCAGATCTTCACGGGTAGACAAGCATGGGTTGCTGAAGATCAGTTCTAACCCAGATCTTTACGGGTTGACAAGCATGGGTTGCTGAAGATCAGTTCTAACCCAGATCTTCACGGGTAGACAAGCATGGGTTGCTGAAGATCAGTTCTAACCCAGATCTTTACGGGCAGATAAGCATGGGTTGCTGAAGATCAGTTCTAACCTGAAGATCAGTTCTAACCCAGATCTATACAAGTAGAAGATCAGTTCAAGCATGGGTTGCTGAAGATCAGTTCTAACCCAGATCTTCACGGGTAGACAAGCATGGGTTGCTGAAGATCAGTTCTAACCCAGATCTTTACGGGTTGACAAGCATGGGTTGCTGAAGATCAGTTCTAACCCAGATCTACACAGGTCAGCTCCAGCCTAAATCACAGCCATCAAACGCTGCTCTAAGCCAGTAAGGACTACCATCATCAGAACTACTCCCTGTAATTACAACATGCTCTGTAACTGCAGCGAGTGAACCTACAAATACATCACTGGTTCAATATTACTGATATGTGAAAACAGACTCCATGCAATTCAAGAAAATCACGATTAGTACGTGCAAACACACATGCAGTGCAGACATTATACAAGTATAACATAGTATATTAGTTGACGATCGCTAGGTTAGAGAGGCATGCAACAAGATGTTGTACCCGATGTTTCTACCATACACAGATTACAGAGATAAACTTGTCAGATATATTTGGCATGAGGATTTTAATCCTATAAAACTGTGAACTGCTGATACTACTGGTGTACACATTTTAACAATAATCCTGACAAAAGCTGATATGCCTGTTTGCACTATGTGTATAGTCTTGACATGAATTACCTCTTACTATAACTGAAACCTTATCCTACCTTACAACTGAAAATATATTTCCTACTTCGGATTTTTGTTTGTTTTAATGCTGCAGTCTGCATTATTCCGCTGTATGACAGCAGTCTGATAACAATCAAGACTTTGCCAGACAATCCAGTGATTGACGTCATGAGCATCGATCCACGAACTGGGATACAAGAGAATCAGCCAGGCTGAATAGTTATTAGATCAGCTAGTGGTGCTCTGCAGCATTGAAATCCAGTGAAATTTGTGTAAGAATAAAATGAAAAAATCTGATATTTCATTGAATTCTCACTGAATCAATATCAAAACAAACATGGGGAATTATATTGGAATATTATGGGCGGAAATCTGATATCACAGAAATATGTCAACATCATGGACACGACTAGACTGTTTCAAAATGTCCATTAAGTTGCAAAGTATATAAAAACAGCTTGCTACTTATGTAAAAAAATCCAACACAGGTTGAGATCCAAACCTCAATAAGAAAAGAAAACTGTAAATCCACGTAAATCCAAACCCGCATATTGCATTGTCAGCATCTAATTCACAAACACTTCATGCACATAAGGCCCCCCCACCCCACCCCACCCCACACCCCACCCTACCCAACTCTTCATGTTCATAAGATGCCACTTTATGAGACGTTGAAACAGATTTGCCTGCCCAAGAGTGCCCCAAAGGACAGGTCAGAACGGCCATTTCAGGAAGATTTCTCCTGGTATTAATCACTCCTCACAAGACAAGCCTGGTCAGGGCTGCTATTTTGTGGAGGACGTAAAGGCCATAAAGTGAAGTGGCTATGATGTTGGTGTAACAAACAGACATATTTAGAGAAACCGCTGCCATGATGGAAAATACCTTATTAAGCTATAAAATTAGCTCCCATTAGTCACCTGGGGCCGGATTCACTAAACTTCCTAGAATATTCTAAGAAGTTTAGTAAATCCGCCCTGGCAAGCAATATCTGACCTGTCCTTAACAACATTTACAAAAAGGGCATGCTATAAGTGGTCTCCCTTTACAACACTACATGCACTTAAGTTGTCTCCCTTTACAACACGGCATGCACAAGTTGTCTCCCTTTACAACACGGCATGCAAGTTGTCTCCCTTTACAACACGGCATGCGCGCAAGTTGTCTCCCTTTACAACACGGCATGCATGAGTGGTCTCCCTTTACAACACTACATGCACTTAAGTTGTCTCCCTTTACAACACGGCATGTGCATTAGTTGTCTCCCTTTACAACACTACATGCACTTAAGTTGTCTCCCTTTACAACACAGCATGTGCATAAGTTGTCTCCCTTTACAAGTCTGCATGTGCACAAGTTGTCTCCCTTTACAACACGGCATGTGCATAAGTTGTCTCCCTTAACAGTTTCCTCCCCTGAATATACTACATATAAGTGTAAGAAAGTCATTTCTTTGGGAGAATAAATCAACAACAGCTACCAAATTTACAGTACATGTGGGACTTACTTATTATTTGCCCATCAAGACATCAAGTTCATTGCATAGTCGCTGTATCTCCAACAAAGGGAGGAACAACTAGACACATCTGAGTGTGTCCAGACAGTTTCAGAACAGTGTCATTAATGCCATGTAAAACTGACACACTGTATCAACTCAATACTGTCAATAGCACTGGACCATGAATGAAATAACATTTTGAAACCTCTTTCCTGTTTCTTTGAGTGGCACCTTAGAAGCTGGGAAAGTACAATACTGAACAAACTTTATGGATAACACATTCCAGACAACGGTACAAGAATCTGTAATAAAAGTAGTTATCAATAAAAGTAGTTATCAATAAAATTTGTTCAATATTCTCTTTTCCTGCTGTCTAATAATGTTTTAAAAAAAGATAATCCAGCCAGGTTAGGTTGACTTTTCACTATCTATGGAATTGGCTTCTTACATTTGCACTAATAATAGCATCAGACCTATGTCCCTATATGACAGCCCTACATATCTCAAATGTTCTTTGTTAAGAACCATCCTGCCACCCCTCCTTATCAAGACCAAAATACATGCAGTATCATAGAACTCCTTGCAACCAGGTAAGTAAACTTATCGATATTTCACCTTCAGTTCAGATTTACTGGGCTTGCCGTCCACTTTGTCAAAATATTCAAACAACTGCCGCCATAGTGTGTTCTTCCGCGTCTTTTCATCATCAGGAGGAAGGAAGTCCTTGACGGGGGCGCCGACTTCACGGTACAGGCTTTTGATGATTCTCTCAGAGACCTCTCGCACCTCTCCTGCATTGTGGTTCAAGGCTTCCACACAAAATGGCATTAGGTTGTCCACGTTAAGCCCACTGAAAGATGCAAATGTTTAATCTCACATTGAAAGGTATTCTAGATACATGTGTAATAGGTTTCTCTGCCCAGTGACAGTTGAAGTTGGCTATAATAGGGTTTAGGACCTTGCGTTGTGTACTTTTTTATGTGGTGATGGTAAAGTAGCCAACTTCAAATAGGCTCTATGAATCAGGCCTCACTGCTGGTAAAAACATAACAAATAGAAAAGAGAAACTCAATAATTTATTTACAAAAACCTAAACCTAATCTATAACAACCTAAACAATCTAACCTAACCCCAAACCCTAATAAGACATGGCCCTCAGAGCATATGTCCAAAACAAATAAATATCTTAATTTCCTATGTAACCAAAAAAAACCTATATACTTGGTCTGGATTACCAGGACTCAAGCAACTGAAATAAATGTCCTCACCTCTGGTGAACCAGTGGACCAAAGACAAGGAGTGCTGTGACGCTACTCCCTTTATAGGGCTAGAGGCAGGCAGTGCATGTGCTGCACATGCCAGGCACAACCTGCCGGGTGTGTTGTGGCTATGTAATCAGCATAGCCGAGAACACACTAATAACCCATGTTATATTAACCCAACCCAAAATAGAACTCAAACTTTACCCGAAATATCCTAAACTACCACAAATGTATGACAAAAGTATAGACAGGCTACCTTGTTAATTAGGACCACATGGTTCCAAGAGAAATCTGACTATTATCCTGTTTGTATTAAACACCAAATTAATGATGCATAAACAAGTGAGTTGGTTTCAGATCATTATTGCACTCAGCAACATTCCAGCTATATGTCTGCAGTCTGTAAAATAATCGAGTCTGGACCAGACAATCTATTGATCAACAGCACGAGCATCGATCTGCTCAATTGTGAACCGATGACATGTGTCAACCAAGACAGCGAGCCTGACCACCCGATCCCGTTAGTCGCCTCTTACGACAAGCATGAGTTACTGAAGGTACATTCTAACCCGGACCTTCAAGGGTAGGTGGGAGGGAAGTGATGCAGGCACAGACATAATGCTGTACTAAATACATGCCATATATAGAGACATTCCCATCTCTACAGAACAGCCGTGATGTAAACCAGGCATGCAGCTGTGTTAAACCCAATCCTGTCACAACATCTAGTGTAAGTGAGATTTGAAACTACTTTGTACATTACACAGAGTCAGCTTGATGTAGGAGGAAAGATTGAAGTGATACAGTCCCTAGACGTTCACCACTGACTACTACTGTTGAAACCCAGATCCTCCACAGCCTACTCTGAGCCAGTCAAGGCAATCAGATGACTCTACCTCTCCTAGACATGAAGACAGTACCCTGTAGGGAGACCCAGGTCCTTGTACAGAGTCTCCCCAATCTCCAGCCTACTCTGAGCCAGTCAAGGCAATCAGATGACTCTACCTCTCCTAGACATGAAGACAGTACCCTGTAGGGAGACCCAGGTCCTTGTACAGAGTATCCCCAATCTCCAGTCTACTCTGAGCCAGTCGAGGCAATAAGATGACCCTACTACTAGACATGAAGACAGTACCCTGTAGAGAGACCCAGGTCCTTGTACAGAGTATCCCCAATCTCCAGTCTACTCTGAGCCAGTCGAGGTAATCAGATGACCCTACTACTAGACATGAAGACAGTACCCTGTAGAGAGACCCAGGTCCTTGTACAGAGTCTCCCCAATCTCCAGCCTACTCTGAGCCAGTCCAGGTAATCAGATGACCCTACTACTAGACATGAAGACAGTACCCTGTAGAGAGACCCAGGTCCTTGTACAGAGTCTCCCAATCTCCAGCCTACTCTGAGCCAGTCAAGGCAATCAGATGACCCTACTACTAGACATGAAGACAGTACCCTGTAGAGAGACCCAGGTCCTTGTACAGAGTATCCCCATCTCCAGTCTACTCTGAGCCAGTCGAGGGCAATCAGATGACCCTACTACTAGACATGAAGACAGTACCCTGTAGAGAGATCCTCAGGTCCTTGTACAGAGTCTCCACTGATCAGTACCCTGTAGAGACCAGCCTCCCCACCTACTCTGAGCCAGTCGAGGTAATCAGATGACCCTACTACTAGACATGAAGACAGTACCCTGTAGAGAGAGACCCAGGTCCTTGTACAGAGTCTCCCCAATCCTCCAGCCTACTCTGAGCCAGTCAGGGCAATCAGATGACCCTACTACTAGACATGAAGACAGTACCCTGTAGAGAGACCCAGGTCCTTGTACAGAGTCTCCACTATCTCCAGCCTACTCTGAGCCAGTCAAGGCTAATTAGATGACCCTACTACTAGACATGAAGACAGTACCCTGTAGAGAGACCCAGGTCCTTGTAGAGAGTCTCCCTATCTCCAGCCTACTCTGAGCCAGTCAAGGCAATCAGATGACCCTACTACTAGACATGAAGACAGTACCCTGTAGAGAGACCCAGGTCCTTGTACAGAGTCTCCACTATCTCCAGCCTACTCTGAGCCAGTCAAGGCAATCAGATGACCCTACTACTAGACATGAAGACAGTACCCTGTAGAGAGACCCAGGTCCTTGTACAGAGTCTCCCCAATCTCCAGCCTACTCTGAGCCAGTCAAGGCAATCAGATGACCCTACTACTAGACATGAAGACAGTACCCTGTAGAGAGACCCAGGTCCTTGTACAGAGTCTCCCCAATCTCCAGCCTACTCTGAGCCAGTCAAGGCAATCAGATGACCCTACTACTAGACATGAAGACAGTACCCTGTAGAGAGACCCAGGTCCTTGTACAGAGTCTCCCCAATCTCCAGCCTACTCTGAGCCAGTCAAGGCAATCAGATGACCCTACTACTAGACATGAAGACAGTACCCTGTAGAGAGACCCAGGTCCTTGTACAGAGTCTCCACTATCTCCAGCCTACTCTGAGCCAGTCAAGGCAATCAGATGACCCTACTACTAGACATGAAGACAGTACCCTGTAGAGACCAGGTCCTTGTAGAGAGTCTCCACTATCTCCAGCCTACTCTGAGCCAGTCAAGGCAATCAGATGACCCTACTACTAGACATGAAGACAGTACCCTGTAGAGAGACCCAGGTCCTTGTACAGAGTCTCCCTATCTCCAGCCTACTCTGAGCCAGTCAAGGCAATCAGATGACCCTACTACTAGACATGAAGACAGTACCCTGTAGAGAGACCCAGGTCCTTGTACAGAGTCTCCCCAATCTCCAGCCTACTCTGAGCCAGTCAAGGCAATCAGATGACCCTACTACTAGACATGAAGACAGTACCCTGTAGAGAGACCCAGGTCCTTGTAGAGAGTCTCCACTATCTCCAGCCTACTCTGAGCCAGTCGGGGCGCCATGTTGGGTTTGAAGAGCTTCACACACTCATGAGGTACGACGTTGGTTGGCTGCAACAGAAGATGTGCCATGTAGAATAAAAGACAGGAATTACAGTTATCTTTGTATCATACTTAGTCTCTGAAAATATATAAATTTGAGAACAATAAAAACAGAGGTACATGTATATCCCTCAGTTCAAACTTCTGTTTGAAGGCGTCCACACATGTGGCCATTATGAAAAGCTAACATACCCTAACTTCTGGGAAGTTGGACAAATCTTGGAGAAACTTCTTAGTGTCTTCTCGGTTCCGTACAGCCTGAAACACAGACAGACACAAAGTGCTTGATGTTCCATCTTCTATAATCAAGGGGTGGCGATGTAATGGGGCACATGTTTTAGACCCAAAAAGTCCATCACATGCCAGCCCAAAAAGATATTGTGTCTCATATTTAACACGGAGACACAGAAAACTGACTCCATGCCAATTGGACCTTCTTCATCCCCATAATGACAAAACAACGAGCACATATACAGAAAGTATCATCTCTTAAAGCCTCTTGGTAAGATGTGTTTAGGGAATCGAACTAAGGGTAAATCTACTGTCTATCTAAGGGTACTGCACCCAGGGAGTTCCTGACTGGGATATCACTGTCTATCAAGTCAACACGAGGCAGTTATGGTTAAAGCGTGTTAGTAGCTCCCACATGGGTACAAAAGCCGTGTCCTCATATTATATTAAACTCAGTCAGTCAGTTCAGTATATCCATAGAGATGGTACTTTCTCATGTGCTCTTTGTTGTTTCAGGTCTTATTTTGTTTGATTAGCATTCCTGAAGTTGGTTAGTCAATGACGCACAGTGCAAACAATGAGACAATGGATAAGCACTTCCTGTTGATTGTATAGAGCAATGTTTCGGTATAAATTCTTACACTGAAAACTTGTTGTATACAATAAACAAGCAGTTCTGATTAATAAAGTCATATGCTTCACTATTGACAAACCAGCGATTGATATTATGAGCATCTTGTAGTCAAGGTACAATCAATTCAGTCAATCAGGTCAATGAGCCTGGACACCAAATATATTAGGCCTCTCTTACGTCGAGCACAGGTCACTGTAGGACAATTCAAACACTAGCCATCATCAGTCTATCACCACGTCCCCAATATTCAAAATTCAGGTTGCTGAACTAACTGAATTCTGTGAAACTTAAAAGTCTTCAGTAAGTTTTGGATATGCCCCAACAAGATGGAATCCGACCACTTGGTCATACACACCACTCATAATAATCCACCTGTGTAGATCCAGGTTAGAATATTGATCTTCAGTAACCCATGCTTGTCGTAAGAGGCGACTAACGGGATCGGGTGGTCAGGCTCGCTGACTTGGTTGACACATATCATCGGTTCCAAATTGCGCAGATTGATACTCGTGCTGTTGATCAATGGATTGTCTGGTCCGGACTCGATTATTTACAGACCGCCACAATATAGCTGGAATATTGCTGAGTGCGGCGTAAAACTAAACTCACTCACACTCACTAATAATAATACCTTCTAAAATTTGTTGTTCACTTGTTTGAAGTTAAATGCAATTTTCCAGCTATATGACTGAGGTCTGTAAATAATCGAGTCTGGGACGGAAATTCCAGTGGTTGACATTGTGAGCACCGACCTACACAATTGGAATATGATGACATGCATCAACCTAGTCCGCAAACCTGAAACTGTTAGTGGCCTCTTATGACAAGCAGGTTGCTGAAGACCAATTCTGGCCAAGTGAGTGAGTGAGTTTTACACCGCTTTTAGCATTATTCCAGCAATATCATGGCGGGGGACACCAGAAATGGGCTTCACACATTGTACCCATGTGGGGAATCGAACCCGGGTCTTCGGCGTGATGAGCGAACGCTTTAACCACTAGGCTACCCCGGGCGTCGCAATTCTGGCCAAGATCTTCACAAGTAAATTCCTTCTTACATGAAGAAGCAACAGTTCAACAAAGACATGATCCCATGCAGAGCAAGACAGGTAACTTACAGTATCCCCAGATTTATGCAGCAGATTGGGGATTGTCCTCTCTACAGCAGAAATCGTCTCCTGACGAGGTATTCTGAAATATCACACACTAGTTATTACATGACACTTGACACTTGATCAGAAGAGTATGTATATATTGTGATCAGAAGGGTGCAGTTTGAGCCAAAAACATTTAAGACTACTAGCCCAGACAAGACTTTAAGCAACATTATCAGTAGATTATAGTGTTATTGTATGAATTATAAAGTCTGAGTTTACTAGACCAACCAGACTTTTACTTGACTGGGGCAGTGGGTAATGCCACAGATTACTGAAGGACTTACTTGTGTTGTGGCACATATTCTGTTAAGATCATTTTCTCCAACTGTAGAGCTGCCTTGAATACCTGGGAACAAACAAGTCAGATCCATAAGATCGAGTTGACGAATAAACTTCATAGTCTTAACCACTATGGGAGAAATCTTGTCTCTTTATTTCATACTTTATACTCAATAATTTCCACAACTGACATCCTACAAGTGTTCTTGTTCATCCTACAAGTGTTTGTTCATCCTACAATACCTGGGAACAAACAAGTCAGATCCATAAGATCGAGTTGACGAATAAACTTCATAGTCTTAACCACTATGGGAGAAATCTTGTCTCTTTATTTCATACTTTATACTCAATAATTTCCACAACTGACATGCTACAAGTGTTCTTGTTCATCCTACAAGTGTTTGTTCATCCTACAATACCTGGGAACAAACAAGTCAGATCCATAAGATCGAGTTGACGAATAAACTTCATAGTCTTAACCACTATGGGAGAAATCTTGTCTCTTTATTTCATACTTTATACTCAATAATTTCCACAACTGACATCCTGCAAGTGTTCTTGTTCATCCTACAAGTGTTTGTTCATCCTACAATACCTGGGAACAAACAAGTCAGATCCATAAGATCGAGTTGACGAATAAACTTCATAGTCTTAACCACTATGGGAGAAATCTTGTCTCTTTATTTCATACTTTATACTCAATAATTTCCACAACTGACATCCTACAAGTGTTCTTGTTCATCCTACAAATGTTCTTGTTCATCCTACAATACCTGGGAACAAACAAGCCAGCTCCATAAGATCTAGTTGACGAATAAAGTGGATAGTCTTAACCACTATGGGAGAAATCTTGTCTCTTTATTTCATACTTTATACTCAATAATTTCCACAACTGACATCCTACAAGTGTTCTTGTTCATCCTACAAATGTTCTTGTTCATCCTACAATACCTGGGAACAAACAAGCCGGCTCCATAAGATCTAGTTGACGAATAAAGTGGATAGTCTTAACCACTATGGGAGAAATCTTGTCTCTTTATTTCATACTTTATACTCAATAATTTCCACAACTGACATCCTACAAGTGTTCTTGTTCATCCTACAAATGTTCTTGTTCATCCTACAAGTGTTTGTTCATCCTACAATACCTGGGAACAAACAAGTCAGATCCATAAGATCGAGTTGACGAATAAAGTGGATAGTCTTAACCACTATGGGAGAAATCTTGTCTCTTTATTTCATACTTTATACTCAATAATTTCCACAACTGACATCCTACAAGTGTTCTTGTTCATCCTACAAGTGTTTGTTCATCCTACAATACCTGGGAACAAACAAGCCAGATTCATAAGATCTAGTTGACGAATAAACTTCATAGTCTTAACCACTATGGGAGAAATCTTGTCTCTTTATTTCATACTTTATACTCAATAATTTCCACAACTGACATCCTACAAGTGTTATTGTTCATCCTACAAATGTTCTTGCTCATCCTACAATACCTGGGAACAAACAAGCCAGATCCATAAGATCTAGTTGACGAATAAAGTGGATAGTCTTAACCACTATGGGAGAAATCTTGTCTCTATATTTCATACTTTATACTCAATAATTTCCACAACTGATATCCTACAAATGTTCTTGTTCATCATACAACTGCTCTTGTTCTGTCCTTGTTTATCCTACAAGTGTTCTTGTTCATCCTACAAGTGTTCTTGCTCATCCTACAAGTGTTCTTGTTCGTCCTACAAATGTTCTTGTTCGTCCTACAAGTGTTCTTGTTCATCCTACAAGTGTTCTTGTTCATCCTACAAGTGTTCTTGTTCGTCCTACAAGTGTTCTTGCTCATCCTACAAGTGTTCTTGTTCATCCTACAAGTGTTCTTGTTCATCCTACAAGTGTTCTTGCTCGTCCTACAAATGTTCTTGTTCGTCCTACAAGTGTTCTTGTTCATCCTACAAGTGTTCTTGCTCATCCTACAAGTGTTCTTGTTCGTCCTACAAATGTTCTTGTTCGTCCTACAAGTGTTCTTGTTCGTCCTACAAGTGTTCTTGTTCGTCCTACAAGTGTTCTTGTTCATCCTACAAGTGTTCTTGCTCATCCTACAAGTGTTCTTGCTCATCCTACAAGTGTTCTTGTTCATCCTACAAGTGTTCTTGCTCATCCTACAAGTGTTCTTGTTCATCCTACAAGTGTTCTTGTTCATCCTACAAATGTTCTTGTTCGTCCTACAAGTGTTCTTGTTGGTCCTACAAATGTTCTTGTTCGTCCTACCAATGTTCTTGTTCATCCAGAAGTGTTTTTGTTCATCCTACAAGTGTTCTTGTTGGTCCTACAAATGTTCTTGTTCGTCCTACATGTGTTCTTGTTCGTCCAACATGTGTTCTTGTTCATCCTACATGTGTTCTTGTTCGTCCTACAAATGTTCTTGTTCATCCTACATGTCAAGCAGCAACATCACACCAGGAAGTACTGATGGATGATTGAACCATCCTATTCAAAGACTTCACCAGAAATGTAACTTCACTGTCATGAACTAGCATCAGTAAAAGATCATAAAGATTGACCTTATCATTTGGTTTCATTACCATCTCCAGGGCTCAAGATAAGGGCCGTATCTGCGTATGTACGGATAATAAATATGCATGATATGGTAGGAAACAATTTAGAAAACGTAGCAGATAAGCACCACAGGCATATTTATCTGAAAAAAGTATCGTCTTATTGTTTATTGACCTGTTTACACAAGACTAGCAATGTTGTGGTGCATATATGAAACTAAACACAAGATTACTTATACTCCATTAAATTCCATTCAGTAAATCTATTCTTAAGGTTTTCCAGAACTCATGTATTGAAAAAATAAGGAGTACGTACTTTTGATGTTGAAAAATTATCTGGAGCCCTGCATCTCTCAAGAGGATCTTGGCATATTTTGTTGAAAAGTGGTTCACTGGAAAACTAAACTGCCACTAAACTAGATCAACATAATGTATGTGACCACCTACTGCATAAACTTTGTCATCGATTGCTCTCTTGGCGAGGAAAATAGCTGCCCTCATCATGGCCTTGGCGTCCTCCTTTGGTGTGGAGGATGGCAAGGCCTGCATCTGTTTGTACACGGCAAGCAGGGAGTCTTCTCGGTACGACCAGGTCTTGGAATAAGCTTTCGACACCTGGTGTTCAAATAGTATATGTGTTAGAACAGCAGCAGACGCATCCATCTAACAACATCATCCATCCAACACATCTATCCATTCATCCATTTATAATCATCAGTCAATCCATCTATTCATATTCACAGCCATCATCCATCCTTCCATCCATCCTCCACTAAACTATTTTATCACGCTGATACCACTTGTTCGTAGTTTTTCCATTCCCACAGCTATTACAAATTTAATTAAACATCCATCTAAACCCAAACATTCACCAACTCCTACCACTGAATATATACTGAGGGAAAAAAATAAGGGATCACATGAAAGCACAAGTGTTCTCTTATTTTTTTCCAGGTTTCTTCACAAGCTATGCGACACAAAGCTTGTGTAGAAACCTTGGGAAAAGATAAAGGAACACTTGTCCTTTCATGTGATCTCATATTTTTTTCCCTCAGTATAATCTATCCTACCCATCGAACATCCTCACCCTCTCACAGCCTTGTCACAATCAAGTTTGGAGCAGTACATATCAACACGTATCACTTACCAGTGGGTGTCCAAACACATCAATAGCGGATGATGCGTCTCGAATGTCCTTCTCTGTCATGGGTTCTGGTTCTCCTGGAATAGAAACAGAAACCGAATAAACACAGGAACATTGCCACCATTACCCAGCAGTCATCATTACCCAGCAGTCACCACTATCGATCAGCTATGTATGAGTGAGTGAAAGCTGTTGTCACAATCAGCCATATTAGAGCAAGATATGGACCAAGCTCACCACCGAGTATTGATCAGCACTGTATGAGTGAGTGAAAGCTGTTGTCACAGTCAGCCATATTAGAGCAGCAGATGGACCAGGCTCACCACCGAGTATCGATCAGCTATGTATGAGTGAGTGAAAGCTGTTCTCACAATCAGCCATATTCCAGCAACACTTGGACCAGGCTCACCACCGAGTATCGATCAGCACTGTATGAGTGAGTGAAAACTACTGGGGGCCAGGTCCACAAGTGTTTGACTGCCATCACTGTCCTGGGACTTACTACCATGCCCCGCCCCCATCACCACCAGACTGAAGACTTCACGCCTTGTAAACACTTCTCACCTGCTGCCATTTCTGGCTCCGGCTCTATCTCTTCTTCCACTACTGGTGGAGGTCTGTAAACAAAGACATACTCTCACGTGAGTGAGTGAGTCAGTGAGTGAGTGAGTGAGTGAGTGAGTATTCCCTTTTATCACAGCCCAGTATGAGAGGTGAGGTGAGGTGAAATTGGGTTAAACGTCGTGCTTGAGAATATTTCGCTCATATGACGACGTGCATGCGTGTGTATGTACGGCTGCTTGTACTAGCCCAGACTGAAGCTGGTTTTATAGTGCTAGCCCACTGAGATACCACGCCGCAGTGAAGCATGAATACCCCACTCAGACACATTATACCGACTCCGAGCCCACCAGTCCTTGTTGTACCCATTAATGCCGAGCGCCAGACAGGGACCAACAAGTACCATATTTTAACGTCTTTTGGTATGACGCGGTCAGGGATTGAACCTGCGACCTTCCGCTCTCCGGGCGGACGCTCTAACCACTACACCACGGAGGCGGTCCCCAGTATGGGAGGAAAGCCTGAACACAGTAACACAATCACAACGACAACAGTGCTCCAATATCACCGGTAAGCCTTGAACTGCACACAATGATCATATCTTGTGGCCTACTCAGTATAATTATATTCCTTCTGGTCTAGTCAGCACATGTGATATGTGAGTGAGTTTAGTTTTACACCATACTCAGCAATATTCCAGCTATATGGCAGAGGTCTGTGAAAAATCTAGTCTGGGCCAGGCAATCCAGTGATCAACAGCATGAGCATCGATGTACGCAATTGGAACTGATGACATGTGTGAACCAGTCAGCGAGCCTGACCATCCGATCCCGTTAGTCGCCTCTTACGACAAGCATGGGTTAATGAAGGCCAATTTTCTAATCATGAGTCCGATATGAAATGAGTTTTAGCATTTCCAGACACAGTACCTTCAGACTTTACAGATGTAAAAATATCATAAAATCCAACATTAAAAATCCTTGAAAAGACTTTCAGAAAGAAACAATACAATCCAGCATACCAAATTATTTTCTAAACCATTGATGAACAACTTTATGTGTTTGAACTTAACGACCTTTGATTCATTTCATCTTTCATTACATAAGATAGGAAGGTCATTCATATAATTTGTCAGCATGAACTCTGAAATGTCTATAACGGTTTATGGAACACATGCAGGTCTCATGACAATCAAAACCAGAAACTTGAGGAATGAAGATTTTCATATGCAATCAAACTTTAACTGATACCCTTCAAAACCTCCCCAGAACAGCAGCATGTCCACCTGATCAACATTTTCACACATTTGGCTGTAAGTGAGTGAGTGAGTTTTAGCAATATTCTAGCAATATCATGGTGGGGAATACCAGAAATGGGCTTCACACATTCTACCCATGTGAGGAATTGAACCCGGGTTTTCAGCCTGACGAGCGACCGCTTTAACCACCGGGCTACCCCACCGCCCCAGTTTGGTTGTAAGAACCTGGTTGAGTAACTCAGCATAACATGACCAGGCATGTGGCAAGATCCAAGCCAAACCCTTGAATCATCAGTTAGTGAGGAAGATAAATATTTCAACACACAGGCAAGAATTGACACAATATGGATCTGGGGAATAAGTAGGGGATACATGCTTGGCAAATCATCATATATATGTCACAGCACTGCAAAATATTTCAGGATTACCATATATACGTAACAAAATTATGTGAAGTATACTGGAGAAGTGTGGAATATCAAAGAATATTTCAGTAATTCTCGCTATTTATGTTTCATGGTGATAAGCTTGGTCACGCAAACTGTTCAAGTCTTTGTTTATTAGCTTAGCAGACCTTAGCATCATTATGTCATAAACACATGATAAAATATGACTGATGACGTCATCTGTATATGACATCACTAACTGACCAAGTTAAGTTTAGACCAAAAATCCTTATTTCTTAAACTTAAATTAAAAGTCAGAAGAATTTAAGAAACAAAATGTTTAAGATGATTCCCAGATAATCCACAATTCCGCAGGTATTCTGGAAGTATTGGGGTATGAAGTTGTGATAAGTGCAGAACACAGGTGTTAACACTATACATGTATATGATATGCAAATAGCGGCAAGCAAGTGCTGAGTAGGAGACTAAAGATCTTTATTAATATAATGAACTGAGGAGGTTGAGAGAGAGTATATCACCATTAAATTGAGCCACAGTACAGTCGAGTTAGTTGTATTATTACTTAGTAGTTTGCTGATTACTATAACTGATTGTTTTACACAGTTTTCACATATAGTCCGTTTGGCTCAAAAGCGGACCGATGAATTGCAATCTAACTCGAAAACTAATAAACATAAAATACTCAATGACACGCTGATCATAATCAAAACATCATACCAACTCTGTGAGGTTTTTGCAGAATTTTTGTCCTAAAAATAAAAAAGTTGTTTAACAAACTATCATTAAAATATTGACACAGTTCACTGTTTGTTACGAGGGAGGAGTGAAGAGAAAGGGACAGCCAGGTGTGCGAGAAGCACGTTCACAGACAAAGTTATTTATTCATTAACCTGTGCTGTGCCGTCTCCATCCGTTCTCGAACACCTGGTTGTCCCTTTCTCTTCACTCCTCCCTCGGAACAAACAGTGAACTGTGTCAATATTTTTATAATAGTTTGTTAAACAACTTTTTAATTTTTAGGACAAAAATTCTGCAAAAACCTCACAGAGTTGGTATGATGTTTTGATTATGATCAGTGTTTCATTGAGTATTTTATGTTTATTATTTTTCGAGTTAGATTGCAATTCATCAGTCCTCTTTTGAGCCAAACGGACTATAGGTTACGACGCAAATGTACCTTGGCCACAATCGCGTTCACATATATACCTAACTGACCAATGGCGGTATTAGTCGGGTCTTTGTTGGGGTGCACAAAACCATTCCCCGCCAACTATAATCGCCTTGATATATTCCTGTATCATCTACTTATATATTCACAGAAGAGTCACAATTTCCCCTCAACAGTCAATTCCCCATTCGTAAGTGACAGTTTTTACCCTAACAATTTCATGCAAAGGATTTGGTAGTGACCATTCAGGTTTCAGTACTGGGATAGCGTCGTACACAAAACACTCCCTTCAACAGGAACTAGTCAGGAGCTGTGAGAAGTGATCATGACATCAAGGCACGATTGAGTGGGTATAATGCCACTGAAGGGGTCGTTGTCGGCCCAGGTACGTTTCTGTATACAGATATGTACCCTAAACAAAGTCAAAATAAATAAACGTACCCGGTACCCTAAAAGGCGGACGAGTCTATATTCCGCAATCCAAAACCGAAACCGTATGTAGTTGTTCCCGTTCAACTGATTCCGAGTGGTATTCATATGCATCGCAAAATATCCGTTACTGTGTATTCTCATTACTTACATAACGCAATCAAATGTATCTAATACAACAGTATGACAGTTCCGGTCAAGAATACGACACAATGGGAATGGAATCGTCCAAGGGTACGTTTCTGTATTCTCATTATGGCCAGGGTACATATCTGTGGTAACCGTGCCGACAATGACCCCTTCAGCTATAATGCCGCCTTGATTCCAGTTAGATAACGGCCGCTTCCTGATCACTTTTGTAAAAACCAAGCACGACTGTGGGATTTGAACCCAGGATCACGGCATTACAGCACGTCCAGCACATTCTGATGTCATGTATCCCCTGTGTATCATGCAGAGTGCATAAAACAAACTGGTTTTCGTATGATTAAAAAATATACATGAATAGTGGTTAATTCACAGTGAAAATGTCTTCACTCTGATCATGATGTTAATATGTTGTCACTGCAAAAATGCATTAACACCATAGCCTTGTTGTGAAGTCAGTGTCCGAGCATGCTTTACACTAGCTTGTCACACAACTTACTTGTGTATTGGCAGGGGTCGTTCATCATAGGCCCGAAGCTGAGACGACTCAGGGTCAGGGTCAGGGTCAGGTTCAAGGTCAGGTTTGGGGGAGGGCTGCCTAATTAGTTCAAAGTTCAAAAGTAAAGAAAGCATGAAGCAAAGAATGAGTATCAGCCTACTAATGCTTCCATGAGACTAAATTAGTGCAAGGCATATTCTTGTTGGCTGACTGTGCAGCTACTTCTGCATTCTGAACTCCTCTTGGAGAAGAAATTGTGAGTCTATACAAGCATCTACCAGTCCACCCTTGTATACTGTACTTTCAGTACATAATTATGAGAGAAGTCACAGAACACCCAATTCCTTCACAGCATAACAGATACTACAGAAATATTGAAGAATTTGGGTGATCTTCAACTCCTGCTGAGTAGAATAATTAGGCTAAAACGATCAAAATCAGTTGATGTTATAGGCGAGAAAAATATTTGCGTAGACTCTGGCTTTGGACAAGTGGACGAAGTCACTGTCATATTTATCTATTTAATTTCAATATAAACAACCAAATATAGAAGTTGATGATGCTGATGATTTGGAGATCTAACGTGCGCTTTCCGACACAATGCATATTTCGCTTTACGGTTTTCAAAGTTGTCAAACAGAGGCTTTTATATAAATACAATCAAACTTGAGAGAATAACCACAGCATCAACTTGGACACAGAGACTTACACCATGATCGTCACAAGAATAAGCCTTGTACAAGAGTGACGATGCTGATGAACCGTATTAGAATACTACAGACAATGTTACAGATGTATCTACACAGTGTGCGGCATTTAATCATGGTTACGTACGCCCTACTGGTACATGTGAACGTCATGTTGGAAAATACAGATATCATGGGTACGATATCACTTTAATAATGAGTTTCTTGTTGCTGATTTAATTCCATGTGGATGAGAAAACATAAAAAGCTGAAAAGAACAGAATCTTCAAACTGTAGGTCTGCGAACTGTAATTTGTAAAATGGATAGAAAAATTTTACAAACTGAATTGTAATCAGATCATAGTGATCAGAGATTGAATGTCTAACAAAAATATTAAAACTACTTTGAATTCACATTATTTTTTGGAATCTCAAAATCTTACTTTGTACAAATTCAGACAAAATTCATCATCATTCAGATTGGAATGGCAGCCCCAGGGTACCTCAACACCTCGCAGGTTTCCAATATGACATTCACATGGGGGGTAGTAACACATGAATGTTTTCAATGGAATACTAAAGAATACAGTTGACAAATATAGCAATAGCATGTTTACCAGTCATGCAATAAACAAAAGGGGCAACAGTTATATAATCACCATCTGTATACAGCTACATAAAATAGTACAGAGACAATCTAGGAACTGGAGGCTACACGTTCAGGACTGAATAAAAAGTAAAACATCTATCTGTCTACACAGGAGTGAGTGAGTGAGTTGAGTTTTACGCTGGTTAGCAATATTCCAGCATATCTGGGACATCAGAAATGGGTTTTACATAGTGTACCCATCGAGGAATTAAATCCAGGTCCTTGGCATGACCTCTACACAGAAACGATAGACTTTGTCAGGATGATACGTGTGTTTATTTGTCATACAAGACCATTCTCAGCAATTTCAGCCATATGAACGCAGTCTGTAGATATTTAGGTCTAGACCAGGCAGTCCTTTGAGGTGAGGTGAAATTGGGTTTAACGCCGTGCTTGAGAATATTTCGCTCATATGAAGACGTGCACGCGTGCGTTTGTGTATGTGCAGCTGCTTGTACTAGCCCAGACTGAAGCTGGTTTTATAGTGCTAGCCCACTGAGATATCATGCCGCAGTGAAGCATGAATACCCTACTCAGACACATTATACCGACTCCGAGCTGACCAGTCCTTGTTGTACCCATTAATGCCGAGCGCCAGGCAGGGACCAACAAGTACCATATTTTAACGTCTTTTGGTATGACGCGGTCGGGGATCGAACCCGCGACCTTCCGCACTCCGGGCGGACGCTCTAACCACTACACCACGGAGGCGGTCGGCAGTCCTTTGAATGATATTGAGAGCAGAAATCTGCGCAATTGGGATAAGATGACAAGCGATCAAACAAGTAAGTCTGACCACCAAACATCTTTGTCTGCTTCTATGACCAGCGTTGGGTGCCAACAAAAGTTTGGCTATAACCAGTGCTTCAAATAAGCCTAAAACCAAACCAGACAGCAGGGCTGGTAACTTCAAAATGTTATAACTCAATTTTTTACTCAGATGTGTAAACATGCTATCGAAAAATATTACCAGACCATCGGGCTGGCTAGTTGTAAAGTAGTCTGTGTCGGTCTGTCGAACAGGCATTATTTCATACACTCATATAACATACAATATGACGATAGTGTACAGAAGCCTTCAAATCTTGAGTATTGACAATGCACTAAACAAACTTTGTTTCTACCTGTGGGTTATAGGTAGTGGTCTCTCGTCATACTTAGGTGGTGTCAGTGGAGGTGATCGAGGCGATCGATGGATTTCTGCCAGTCGTGGAGGAGTCGGCTGCCGTTCAGAGTCTGAAACACATCATAATCTGTAGTCAGCCAGGTGACTATGTGAATCTACTTGTAAGCAATAGAGATCCTTATTTAGATTGATCAAGATGAAGTCAGCACACCCAGACATCATTGTTTACCATATACTAGACTGTGTTAAGTTTCACAAAGTCACATTCATCCACAATGTGTTCTTTCAGCAGTGTTAAAATCCATATCACACATACAATATTAAATCAGCAATCAAACGACTAAATAATTCCTTGAAACTGTTCTACTTACCAAAGTTTATTGGATGTGGATGCCTTGACTGTTGGAACGTAAAATTAAAAGTACATTGAAAAGTAATCATCATAATCTTCAATCATACAAATCTTTTTCAAAGTAAAAGATTCAGAAATTAATTAGAAATACATCTCGTATCTTCAAGAAATGTTTAACCATTATAAATAAAATTGACACAAATACTTAGCTTAAGAAATACATCTTGTTAAATGTTCCAAGCATGCCATTAGGCTAGATACTACATTCTATATGACAGTTTTAAATGCACCATGCATCATACATATAGTCTACAAGCATTATTAGCGCTGAGTATCAGGAACGGAACTGGCAGCAGGTATGGAACCACAATGAATTGTTATATGTCATGCGCATGTTAGAGCAGAGAGCCAGGCATGCTGGGTATTAGTAAATCCCATTTACAGAGAAAAACTATTTGTACAAAAACTAAATTACAAAGACAGTAGAAAAACTACTTTCCATACCACTAATTGTCAAAAACTAAACTAAGTATTTGAAAAATAGCTGAAAAAAAACTTACAAGAGCTACTATTTTCATAAACCAAAATATGAGTATTACTTGCCCTTTTGATAATGACAATATAAACTTGCCACCAAAGGAAACTGCATCTTATTTCACTATATGCAGTCTCTCATGGTGCCTTATCAATCAAATCATATTTGTTTTATTGCATTCTTAAGCTATACTATTTAATGAAGAGATCTTTCAAGCATTACAAAATAACCTCCCCACTCACACCCAACCTCATTCTGTGAATGTCTACATATTTCCACCCATGTCTACATATTTCCACCCATGTCTACATATTTCCACCCATGTTTCCACGCTTTACACTGACACTGAATGTAACAGTACAGGTGGACATTACCCCAGTGGTTTCCAGCAAGTCGGTGAGATTCAGGTCCCTGTAAATATGGAGGCGGTATTCGTCCATCTGCAGCTTCTTCACCTTGGCCTTGTCATAGTCCTCGTTCTCCACCGCCTGCCGTTTCTCAACCTCCATCTTACCCAGCTTCTCGCCCACCTGGTCACGTCATGGACATATTGGGTTTGGATATAAAGTGACAGCTCAACAGAAAATTGACAGGTACCAGAGCTCACCTTCTTAACTGAGCGAACACATAGTTCTAACCTCCTTTTAACCCAGCTTCTAACCCACCTGGTTAAGAGATGGTCATATTGAGTTTGGATACAAAATAAGCGAGTCATGTGACAGCTCAGAAGAATGATGGTGATAGGTACCGGAGCTCACCTTCCAAGCATCATAACCTGAACGAACTTATAGTTTTAACTTCTTTCTTACCAAGCTTCTAGCCCACCTGCTTACGTGATGGTCACATTGGGTTTGGATACAAATGAATGAGTCATGTGCCTATAGAATAAGTGATTTGGGTTTATCAGTTCCTCCAGGATTCCTTTATTCAGCGGTTGCAGAATAAATCACGGAAATTACCTTTTGATGCAGAAAAACACCTGGATCGCGGAAAGCACATTTTCATGCAGAATACCTGCAAAATTTGCCCTTTTTCTGACGTGAAATTTACTTATTTTGAAAGTTAAATCAAGATTGACTATCAACCGAAATGAAAAATAGGGCTAAAAGTCAAAAGTATGATCGGTTACACAAAAACGAACTGAGACATTTGTTATAACGATATTTTCAAAATATTCACAAATAAAGATGATTTATTCATAAGGTAATCATTTCAATAATATCTTATGAATTTGACACTGCAAATATGTTCACAAAATCGATCTTTTTGTAGATTGAAATTTTTTTTTTTTTTTTTTTTTTAAGTTTTTAATGGCACAATGTTTTGCAGAATTTTGAAAACTAGGATACAGAATTTGCTTAAATTTGCCACAGAATTCTTAAAAATTCGCTGTGGAATCCAGGAGGGACTGGTTTATTGCTGCTTTGAAGAGTATTTCAGATACATCAAGACACGTCAGCTTCATGGGGGAAGCCCAAAGAAACACAGGTCTTAGATGGCTACCATTTTGGAGAAACGCAGAAATACAATAGTGAGTAAGTGAGTTTTTTAAGCCACTTTAGCAATATTCCAGCAGTATTACGGTAGGGGACACCAGAAATGGGCTTCACACATTGTACCTATGTCGGGAATAGAACCTGAGTCTTTGGCATGATGAGCAAACGCTTTAACCACTAGGCTACCCCACCGCCCCAGAAATACAATAGAGGTGAACCAAGATTCGAATTCATGTTTATAAGGGGCTAAATAGGGATTAAAAAATAAATTACTTAGTGAACGCAAATGTTGTTTTCTTCATATATTTGTGAGTGTTAACAAATGGAATAGAACTATACAGAATTCATAAAATGAACAGAAACATACAATAAAAGTGTTAGTTAGTGAGATGCCAAGTTTAACAGAAAAATCCTGTTATCTCCTCGATGCTGAGACCAAACGCTGCTGTTGATAACCTGAGTTGACGCCGGTTTGGAAAAAGGAATGGGCAAAGATTTCCTATTACATAACTCATAATATCTTACACTTAAAATGAATGTCCAATCAAATCATAAAAGAGAACTCTCTCCATTCAAACACATAATTTAGTGAAAACTAAAGACCTCAGTCACTGTAAAATATATTGGAAATACACATATAGTCAGTTTCACAAATTTTCACAAATATATTACACCTGTTCACTGCTATTTCGATGTGACAAAAAAATTTCTGACTGATTATTTCATATTACTGTACCTGTGGGAATGTGTCTTAGCATCAATACTATAATGATCGGTAACTAACACCAGTTGACTGATAGCCACACACTGTTATATAATGTGTCTCACAAAGCTATAGTTTTAACCTCTACACTGAAATGAAATATCAACCAGTACATTAGATTCTTAAAAGAATTTGTGAGGGTTAATTAAACCTCTCCAAAACCGTCTTTCCCAACAATTTAAGACACAGGTTTCAGTTTTCATAATAACCTACTGATATTCTGTCTGACATTTAGAACCGTACCAGGATTTTTCTGTTGATCTATTTCTAGGGGCTAATAGATCCTAACCTTCACACATGTTATAGCAAAGGAAAGCCAGAATCGGAAGATAAAGCAAGCAGTCCTGACTATGTGTGAGTCTGACAATCATCTACAGCTCTCGTATATTCAGAAAGATCACCCTGTGGGTAAAATCCAAGGAAATCTTGAGTTCCTCATCATTCTCAAGTTCAAGTTCAAGTTCTGGTGGTTGTCCATTGCGAGCGCTTCGGATAAGTTCTTCTGTATCAATATGAATGTGACGGACATTTTTCTTTAGAGAGGGTCTAGCTTGCCATCCCGAAGGTTCATGGGTCACAGGGGGATCAAACGGCACTGACCAATCCCCATCCAACTGAGGTTCAAAAGATGTGGACTCATCGAGTGCCACTGATTCGTATGGCCTGGTCGGAGGATAGCGCACCGATTCTGGGATATAGTCCATCGCTGGTGATTTAGACCTAGCAGCGCTCTCCTTAAATAGATGGTGTATCATTACTGAGATGAACCGTGATCTCGGAATATTTCATATTGCTTGCATGTTTTTGTCAGATTAGAATCTATGGCCCCTAGAAACAACACTCACTTTATCCTCGAACATAAACATTTCCTTATGTTATGGTGACACACTGAGAATTACACCTTTGGTAAGTCACTGAACAGATCAGGCACACTGTGTCAGAGTTACGACATCAAAGCAGTTTTCGTTTCTTTGCTACGACAGTGGCTTGTAATAATCGATGCAGGCCAGACAATCCAGTGATTGATATTGAAAGCAACAAGCCAAAACATGTGAGCAAGGTCACCATGACTCCCAACTTCAGCTGAACAACAATACCAATGATTATTCTTGACAAATTTACAAGATCTGTATCCAACTTTTAACTGCACTTTCCTATAAAAAGAAGCCATCACTTGACAAAGAAGCTGTTTTCCAGATTTGAAAACATTTAACCAATACTTTCCAAATTGTTGGTTGAACTAACTTTTCAAAGTTTAAATTTCCAAATTGCTGTAATTCTCAAATAACACAGACTATCATAATTTGCACTGCACCTCTCCTTTTGACATAGATGGTGGTGCCGAAATTTGAAAACAATCCAGCCAATAGTTTAGAAGTTATTGGTTGAACAAAAAGTCTTCTGACAGACAACTGATCGACAGACTTCCTTGATATTACAATCAAAGCTGTCTGGGTCAATGACATGCTATCAACCACATGACAAATGCTTGTCTGTCAACACTGAGACCAGCATTAGATACTCGGGACCTATTGCCACCCAGAATCCCCATGGACAAACGAGCTGAGTAGGCAAATATGATTGTAAACAGAATAGATGCCATCTTCCCCAAATAACAAGCTATAAAGTATTTCTCATCAGATCAAGACATCAAAGCCTATTGGTATGAATCTACAGTACTTGACATGTACAAGCCACGTGATTACGAAACAGCTGATTGTTTTATCACTTAGTTCCAATTTCAACTACAGCAACTTACGATAATACAATCAAGTTTTTTTATCTCGAAAATGTAACACTATAAATCTTGTGATGTAACTATAAATAGACATTATACCATTCGATAAACAAGACGTGATCATATAAAATATCAGACTAAATAATGACACAGTGGTAATTAAATTTTGGTCATTGCAGTTTTTTTAGAATGCAATTTTATTCATATTAAGAACTGAAGACACCATATTTTTGTTGCAAATTCAAGGACAATTCGAAACAATATGCAATTATGTAACAGCTAGTCTGATTTGAACAAAAATGAAACATACAACTTTATGGATGACAACTTCTTATTTATTGCACAGAGCGACGTTTCGATGTAGATTCTTACATCGTTATCAAGCTAAAAGATTTTGAACAGGTTACTATTGATAACCGTCAGCACACACCCAATATATGCATCTGTCATGCTGCCTCACAAACTGGCATGCAGACCATGCTATGCGATGCACCCACAATGCACCCATCATGCACCCAACTGCAACCACAACTGTCCCTGATTCATGCAGATGTTTGTAGTTCAGTGCTTACCTTTTGAAGTTCAGCTATTGCAAATTTTAACCTCTTTGCATAGTCGTAACGCTCCTCTGAAAAACATATTCATGATACATATTAATGTTTTAAATGGTTTTAAAAGTTATACACATTAAGAGGGGAATTTAATGGATATCCACTTCTGTCATGCAAAGAACACAATATCTTGATACTCCCTGAAACACTGTGTTCCTCATGTTACAGAAGTGGACACCCATAAAATATCCTCCTTTATGATAAATATACATCAAACACGTATCAATAAGATTTATTTCTTAACCACGAAACCTTTATTACCAGCAGTATGACCAAATTCTTCCTTATTTCCAGGATTTCACTCTTTATGTGACAGTGATAGTGATTTTCGTGTGATAAGCTAACATCGCATTTCAAATATATTTTGTAGTTTCTCAAAATTATTGAAACATACCTGAATATGTAGACACATGGTTAGTGTGAGTTACGTTACAGTATATTACAGTTTAACTTATTTCATATTCATAAGTATGCATTTGGTGGGATAACCAAAACAAGCACTTTTCCAGTGTTTCATTCATTTCAAGATTTGAAGGCTTCTATTACATATCAATATTCCAGCTTTATGATAGTAGCTTGTAAGTAAGATGACCAGACATCCAAGTTTGCGGAGGTGGTGTGGGGTGAGGTGGTGGTGTGTGTGTGTGCGTGTGTGTGTGCATGTGTGTGTTTGCGTGTGTGTGTTTGCGTGCGTGCGTGCGTGCGTGTGTGCGCGCGCTTACTTAAAATACAGTGCGAAGAATACAGCTTAGTTCCATCACCGTAGATGATCATGAATACACCATGAATCCAATGAACTCACGTAACACAGCTTCCTGTTTCTTGCGCTCCAGCCGGCGGATGATCTGAGCGATCTCGGGGTCCTGGTACATGTCAAAGGCGAGGTCATCCAGAGGCGAGATGTATTCCGGTCTGCAGATACAGGGAGACATGTTGATAGATGGGTAATTCCTCCAGTAAGCCAGTAACATAAGCAAGTGTACCCTTCAGTGGTCAAGAGATATGGAGGGCCAGTTGGCGGAGGGCGCTCAAGTTAGTTGATTTGTTGGCATTTTTTTCTCCATTTTACTTCTCAAGACAGTCATCAATAAACAATCTTTACGTAGTTAACGATTATTGATCTCTATGATCGATATTGATAAGCAGCCTTAGTGTTTATAGTACTAGCACAAAGCAATGACATGTAACCCATCCTGGAAACCCCACCCAGATACTCCAAGCCAACCAACCCTTGTTACACCTTCACAGAGGTACAGATAAGCTGCATAACTTATGCAAATATTTATGTGAAAACTCAATTCCTATTAAGTCCTTTGCATACAAGTATGCTTGAATTTTTGTAAATACTCAATAAATTTTATCCTACATGTGTAAGCACAAAAAGTCAAATCTTAGCTTTCATACGGATGTATACATAAAATAAATGAGGTACACTGAGAAGTTTTATTTCAGCACCTGAACTTGGCAACTTGCAGTCTTTCTTATTGTTTCTCATATTACATATTTGGTTCCTCAAAGGAAAATTAGGATTACCAATTGAGATGAAGACAAGTGAGTACATAACTCAATGACTCAAAAAGTTATCTGTAGCTCTGTCTGGATGCCAAGCCCCAGGCCGACCATCCTATGACATCTTTGTGTATGATACTTCTGGGACGGAACTTCAAACCCTACACTACGTGGACAGATGCTCTGTCAACTACACAATAAAGACAGCGGCCAACTATCATCATGATTGTCCAGACTCCTAAGAAACACTCCATGTAGAAATAACAGTGGAAGAAACATCAGTTCAGTGGTGTCACTCACCTGTTAAAGAAACCTTCTAATGCAGGGTCTTTATCTTGCGTCCGATTATCACTTACATCAAGCAGGTACTCCTTGAAATAGAAAACAATTCATTCTAAAAAGTATCCATACATTGTATTTTGGAGAAAAATTAACTACAAAACTGAAGAGATTGACAATTTCCACATTGTAAGATAAGAACATGGCACTTTTACGTCGTTAGATCAATTGTTATTTTATGTAAGCTTAAAGGACAACAAAGTAAGTACTAGTTAGCCTCATGAATGTTTTTTGAAACATAATTCTGATTTATCAGTTGCAAAATTCATTTAAAATACTTAAATCATGTTCAATCTTACACAAATGTGACAATATCCTTGATATTTACATATAAATGCCTGTGGTATTATATATATCCGTAGCAGTAGTCTTTGAACAGTTGGCCTAAAGATACGTAGGGCATTATGTAATGTCAAATAACTAATGTCCTTTTATTTCAGTGGATCAAGCTTGCAATGCTACAGCAATATTACAGATGTATGACGATGGCTTGTAAATAATACTCTCGGCTAGGGCTACATCATATTCCATTTTGCATATCTCGTTTTGATAAATAACACCCAAATTCAAATAAACAAAATCATGAATTCACGAATTAATTAATTGAATTCACGAATGGTTTAATTCACCAAATACACATATGGATTGTAACAGGCCTACTGTGGGTGGGACAAACCAGTGATATATACCATGTATTACAATCAACACTGTTGGGGTACGAATACACGCAATAAACTGAGTGATGCATTCATTATGTCTTCTTGTATCACCAGCTATGATCACAGTCTTGCCGCTGATTTTTTTAACATCCGGTCACTGTGTCTGACGACCACCTAAGTTACCGGTCCTGCACGAAAGCTGTCGGTCACAAAAAAATGATAGTTCCGTTGCCCTCCTCGTATCAGAGCCATTTATATTCAGATATCCAGTCTGAATTAACTTTCCGTAATTTACTAAGCTTAGTTTTGAAGACCTAATGCAACTTGAACTTGAATCATTGTTTTGCCCCTTACTGTTTGTTTTGTCATCCTCAATAGCCGAAACCGTACCTTTACCAGAAAAAAAATTGGACAGCGTCGTCTGCTTTCTGCTTGTCATTTCGACAAACATGTGGTACATAAACAATCAGATAACATCCTTACTTTCCGTAATTTCCCATGACAACTGATTATTCTGACGTTTCGAGGTACAAAATATATCAATCTTTTCCGAGTGACTGCCAAACTGACCAATCATATTGCGCGTAGCATAATGAATTTAGAAGGAAACATCATCTCAAACGAAAGTTTAAGTGGCCGATTCTACTATTAGAGGATTACTTCAGCGATTTTATTTCAAGTTTGGTAACATTTCAAGCAGGACAAAAAAAAGCTTTGGTATTTTACCGGACAGTGACCGATAGCCTCCAAATTTATCGGTCCTGGGCATTTTTACCGGCCAAAATCCGGTATATACCAGAGAACAGAAATACTGGATCAGACCTGCAACAACCTGACTGGCTCTCGGCAGTAGGGCTGTGTATTGGCAAATAAATGGTATTGTAATATATTGTGATTCAGGTACCCGTATTGCGATATATTGGGAACTTAAGTGTCTGACAGTAAATGACACTAATTGTACATGTCGATCCTATTTTCTACATTATACGTCCCTAAACATATATGTTATGGTCCTGATAACAGCAGTCTCAAAATTAGGTGGCATAGTCAGGGATTCTATTTTCATTTTTATACAGTTTATTGCATTACAGTATGTCGTATTGTAATTGAATAACGAAGGAAAACATTTGTTGTGCATGAAAGTGTGTAGATTTTAACTGAAACCATAAAGATAATCATAAAAACTTCATATATCTTCTTTACCCAATATACCGGTTCTCAGAACAAAATATTGCAATACGTATCATTTGAAAAGCGTATTGCGATATACCGGTATATTGGCAATACCATGCAGTCGTACTCAGCAGCGATGACAACTGTTTCAATGACTCACCGGGTCGGAGGGGTCGTAGGACTTCGTCAGTGGATCCCCTATCACATTGATTGCAATAACGCCAACCTGGTAACGTGAAACAACATCTAAATTCAGTTTAAACATACTGTATTCACAAATCAAAAACAGGACATGTTCTCATAACTCATAAAACCTCTCTTTGAGAATATTTACAATAACAAACTACATCGCAAGTTTGTAGATAATTTCCGACGCTGTATGTATAATCAACACTCAAAGAGCATTTTCACATGGATTACCACATGTGCAGGGTGGTTCTGTAATTATGTAATGTTTCGATTAAAATTGATATTTTATTCTTATCCTGACTCATGCTCTTTTGCCTGTCTCCTTCTTGCGAATGATAGTGGAACACTTGAATCCCCTTTTGAAGCTCCCTTCAAAAAAGCGGGCGTAAAATCACTCATCCCATGAGTAGCCTCCCTTTGCCCTTTGGCACCCTTATTGGTCACCTGACCAGCCAAGCTTGTCACTCTCTCCGTATATGAGCCCGACACCCAGATTACCGGGAAATCCAGAGTGTCCAGAGGGGAGGTTGGGAGGGCTGACCTCATGAGTCAAAATAAGTATAAAATATCAATTTTAATAAAAAAAATTACATACATTTCCTTATCCTGACTCATGCTCTTTTGCTTGTAGAATCCGACGGAACCGGCGGTGGGTCTGGCCATATGAACTTATGATGGCACTTGTGCTGATCCTTGTTTCTTGCAGCTTCTTCTGATGTGTCTGGGGGGACCACAACTGGTCAGATTTCTCTGGCTTCTCCTGACATTATGTGTGGATTTATGAAACTCCAAGTCTTTATGCTCGCATCAAGTGGAGAAGAGACCCTTCTTCATATACGAGCAACTCCTTTACAAGTACAGGGTCTATCACTCATGCTGGTCTGTCCTACACGTGCGTATGGACTCTAAAGCTCTAGCTCTTCAGAGCGTTGGCTTTTACAAGTCACGTGATAAAAGGGTGAGATTCATCTCAGCGCCTTTGAGGAACCGTCAATTGTTGTGCTACAACAAGAGGCCCAAACTGGTGAATGCCGGAGACGTCCTCGGTAGCAATGTCTCTGAGGTAGTGGTTGGCAAACACCATCTCTTACTTCCAAAGCAGCCCTCCATTATTGTCAAGATGGAGCAGTTTCCATGCAGAGCGAGTGTCGATGCCAGGGCTCTGACTTCATGAGTGTTGAAGGCTCGCGGAGGCTCAAGTCCTGCTGCTTTGTAGGCTCTTAGGATGACGTCTCTCATCCATATCGATATCGTCGTACGTGAGACCTCTGTAGGCGTCTCCGTAGATAGAGGGATGAAATGGCGCTTGAATTTTCATCTCCTCGTCTTAGACCTTTGCAGGTAGACTTTCAATGCTCTGACTGGGCATAAGGATAGGTCCTGAGTATCCTGTGGCCCAAGGACTGTCGAGAGACCTGGGATGTGGAACTGTCTATCTGGTTGACCGGCCAGTTGTTCTTTGCTATGAAGTCCCATCTCAATCCCAGATGTACGATGTTGCGATGTGCATCAAATCGTGTTCGTTCAGAGTCCAGAGCATGTATTTCCGACATCCGAGCTGCTGTTGCCAAGGCAATCAGGAACAGAGTTTTGTGTGTTAAAAACTCATAGGATGTCCTTTCTAGTAGTTCCTAAGCGTCACTGGTGAGATGCTGCAAGACTACGTTGAGATCCCAAGCAGGCGCGCTTTAAATTTCTTTTGTTGGCCTTCCAAATAAAAGGAGCGTAGTAGTGCCAGTATCTCTGGTACATTGGTCAGCTTAACACCCGTCTTCATGGTGATAACCGTGCTGAGGGCCGCTAGGTATGCAGAGAGTGTTGAACCTTTTAACCGCCTCGTTTGTCTTAGATGACAAAGGTATTCCGCCACTTGAGTATTTGAGTTGCTTTCATCACCGTGAAGCCCTTCCTCAATGCATATTTCTCAAAACTCTGCCACTTGTCGTCGTACAAGTTGCGGGTTGATCTACATAGAGCTAGTGTGACTGCTTTCGCTGTTCTGGTGGAAGATCCTCTTTTCTTCAATCAAGTCTTGATACGTTCCATGCTTGTAGCTGGAATACTGTTGGATTCCCCTGTGCTTGCTTGGTGTGCGGATGAATTAGTAGGTTCGGCCACTCTGGGAGTTGCAGGGTTGGACTTCCGAGTTCTTGTATGAGGATGGGGAAACCACACCCTCGCTGGCCAGTAGGGCGCGACCAAAATCAGTTGCAGCTTCTTCGTATGCTTGATTTTCTGCAACACCTTCGGTATTAGAGCTGGAGGTGGAAACGCGTAAGCGTTTAGTCCTTCCCAGGAGATGCTTAGAGCATCTGTTGCCCATGCTTGTGGATCCAGAACCGGAGAGACGAATGTTGGTAGTTGTTTGTTGAAGTTTGAAGCAAACAGGTCTATCAGCGGAGATCCTATCCTCTGTATGATGCATTCCGTCGGGGATGGTTGTGTTGGACGAGATAGGGCGTCTGCTATCACATTCTTGGCTTAGGGAATGTGGCACGCTTTTATGTTGATGTTCAGGTTGTCTATTATGCTGAACAGATGAAAGCTGAGGTCAAGAAGATACCTTGATCTTGTTGATCCTTGTTTGTGATGTAGAACGCCACTGTGGAGTTGTCCATGTGGATCATCAGTTGTGCGTTCCTTAGTATGCTGGACCAGTGTAGTAAGGCGTTTATTACTGCTTTCATCTCTAGCATGTTGATGTGCAGACTCTGCTCCTGACTCGACAATTTCCCTGCTGCCACTTCGTTGTCGAGGTGGGCTCCCCATCCTTGAAGTGATGCATCTACGTACAGATGAGTGTTGCACTCCAGCTCTGATAAGTAGATTCCTCAACAAACATTCGATTTCCGAGTCCACCATAGAAGATTTCAGTCCGTCCGGTAGTCCGAAGGAATCCAGACTGTCTAGATGAGCGTTCACGAACACTTGTAGTGGGCGCAGTTGTAGTCTTCCTCTGTGTGTCATGTCTTGTGCTGACATGAGATGACGAAGTAGGCTCTGCCAACTTCGTAGTGGTAACGGAAAAGAGTAGTGCTTGAGATACCATGGCTTGTATCAAGACCCAACGATCCTCTGAGACGGCCATGCGATTCTGCGGTGAGATGAACATCTTCCCAGAAATCTGCTCATATCCTACGTTGTTGGTAAGTAGACAGCGGAACCCTTGCCATGTCCGTAATGGAAGCGGAGCAATGTCCTGTTCTGGAATCATGACTTGAAGTTTATTTCTTCAATCTTCCGATAATATGTCAAGAAGACTTGTCCCCAGAATCCCAACAAAGTGCAGTGATGATGCATAATTCGCCTTCAGATGTACTGGAACTGCCATCGCTGTGAAGTCTATGTATAGTAGAAATCGTCAAACATATGTTGCTGCAAATCACTGGATAAACAATCTTCAATCTGCTGACAGGGAAGGTCCTTATGACTCGTGAAGACAGTCGAATCACACTGTACCCTGCTAACTGGACTGTAAATGGAGCCTTTCTCCTACATTGAAAAGTTGTTTACAACTGTAGACGACTTCCTGGCACGTGAGCTATGCCCGACTTCTGCGCAGAGCATTGTCTCTCATGGACCAATCAGTTTGCAGCCTTTGATTCATCTCAGATTCCCGCGATGTGACGTCACCCGGTGTTGCAGGAAAAAGATCCTTGTAAAATCTTGTGCAGTCGTTGATTTCTTCATCAACCCTCGGCCTTGTCCGTAACCTCACGGAGTTACACGAGTGAACACGTGTATAGCAGGCTGAGTGGAAAATGCGGGAAGGATTTCTCAGCGTAATACCGATGTAGGTAGACTGTCTCCCTGACTGTTGTGATTGTTTCCTTCTTCACTGAAGATAAAGTAATCGTCATCTTTTACAGATGATCAGCAAGTTCATACTTGCTTAACGCTGTTGCTTGTAGACTGTAGTCATCGGTCTCAATGAAGCGCCGTAAAATAACCAATTGTGTTGAATACACAAAGGTTCTTGTAGAGTTGATTCTTCGCTACGATGACCGTGAAAGAGGATGTCACCCTGAGGACTGCGACAATGCCAATGCTAGGCTAGTGATAACTGTCAAGCTGTCCCCTTCCTCACAAGAGTCAAACCCGCTGATGTTGGATTTGACTAGTCCGAAACAAGTACGTCTAGTAGTTGTGTAGGTTCTGCAATGGGAGTAGTTGATGTTCTTGAAGTTCTCATCAATCTCTGGAGCCTTCATGAAGGGTTCCATATGAAGTAGTGGGAATTTCCTGGCGTTGAACGTCGGGACATGTTGACTCTGGAACTTCGTAGCCTTACCAAGGCTGCGCTGAAATTCTCCGGTACTTGAGCTATCAGGTCGATAGGTGAAAGGTGAACGTATCAAATCATCGTTAGATATCTTGTACGTGAGTGCTTCTGATCCACGACGATGTGAGTCCCTGCCTGCCTGAAGACCTGCCTAAAGACCGGTTGGAATATGAATCTTCCCTTGAATCTTGAGACGTATCCCTCTGCCTTCGTGAAGGTGTGGATTCTCTTCTCCGTGATGAGGAGTGCCTGCACGCAGGCTCACGACGAAGATCCGCGTCTGAGGTTGAAGATGATCCATGTGACCGACTTCTGCGATACTCCGAAGAACGTCTAGTCCTGCTCCTTCGCGAAGGCTTCTTGGGAGGTCCTTCCGGCACGTCTAGGGCTGCATCATCGTTGTCGAGGTTGCAGTCAAGTGTGAACCTTCACGCAGGCTTCATCCTTCACGCAGGCTTCCATCTTCGTTGGAATTCTTAATCCATTAGCCATCCAAGACTTGATCTCTGTATCGGAGAATATGATTCCACCATCATCTTCAGATTTGGATGCATCTTGTTCTGAAGACCGTTGCCGTTGTGCTTGCTCCCTGAGTGGAGATCTACGTGGTGATCTACGTGGAGACATTCGCGAATGCCTTCGTGGAAATGCGTGTGGAGACCTGTGTGGCGACCTATATGTGCGTGAAGATCTGCGTGGCGATGAACGTGAAGATCTTCCTGAAGACCTGTGCGAAGATGATCGATCCGTATAAAGATCCTCCCTGGAGTCTTGAGACGTATTCCTGCGCCTTCGTGAAGGTGAAGATTCTCTTCCGTGGGATGTGAAGTACGTTCGCGCAGGTCCGTGATGATTGTCCGAGTCTGAGGTCGAGGTTGATCTGCGATGCTCCGGTGAACGTCTGGTTCTCCAGTGAACGTCTGGTTCTCCTTTGCGAATGCTCCTCTTCTACTGCAGGCTCATCGTTGTCCAGGTTGACAGGTTCTCAGGAAGTTGTCGTGGATGACTGTCGAGTACGTGGTCCTTCACGAACGTTCCCTTCTTCAAGCAGGCTGCCATCTTCACTCAGATGCGATCTGCAGGCTGCTTGTCCTTCGTGCAGGTTCGTCGTAGATGGTGTCTTCACCACAGCCTTCTCCTGCGCGTGAACCTTCGATCCATCAGGTCCATCATCTGCTGAGTAAACTGCTGCATGAAGATACACGGGTTGAAGGTCTGCGCTGACAACTGCTGCTGCTGTAAAGATGACGACGCATCTGAGAGTGCTGAGGCTCCTTCCAAGGACTTCCTGTCGTCTCTGGTCTCTAAGTCTGCGTTGATAAGACTGCGTTGATATGGCTGCTGACGTCACTGTAGAAGAAAACCTTGTCTTCTTCCTAACTGTTACTTCAGGAATCAGGATGGGTGGTTTATCGTATACGTCTGCTTCGTCCTGTGGGGTGATATCTGCGGCGAAGGACCTCGTCTTCTTTTCTGCCCCAAGGGACGACTTCGATGAAGTCTTATCTGTAGACGATTTCTTCTTCAGAGCAGACGATGTCCTGGTCTTGTTAGACTGCGACGAGGGTAGTTGTGATGATGATGATCTCTTCCTGGACCCGGAGCTGCCATCTGCCACAGTCAACAGCTCCGAAGTAGCAACCGGTAAATCACTGGAATGGTGAATCTCAGCAGACAATAATACACGGTTATTAACGCATTCACTCTGTTTAGACATGACTTGTAAAAGTCGTCTAGACCTGTCCAAGGAGCTTCAAAAGGGGATTCAAGTGTTCCACTATCATTCGCAAGAAGGAGACAAGCAAAAGAACATGAGTCAGGATTAGGAAAAATAATCATACTCTGTAAAGATTTAAACATTACAACCAAGTATATGCCTCAAAACTCCCATTTCTGAACCACAGTGTTCAAAGTACTGGATTTTGTCAATATTATGATTTCTGGAAAGGTGAGTGAGTGAGTTTAGTTTTACGCCGCACTCAGCAATATTCCAGTTATATGGCGGTGGTCTTTAAAGATCACATATACCCCAGGGGGTACAAATACATAAATCACTAACTGGCATCGTTATAAATGAAACCCCGTCATTAAAACTACTCATTTCGACCTTTGACTTAAATCGACCTTTTTGACAACAGTGCACAATTCTCACCCGCGAACGAAATTTCAACCAATCAGAGCGGCGCGTCTGTGTGACGTCATATGAGGAATAGCTTTGAGGGCTGATGCAGAATTCATCTACATTTTAGGGGGTAAATTATCTTGTTTACAGGCTTGTATAACCTGAAATCGTGACAATTGTTGTGGAAAATGAAAGCTATATGTTCTCACAATCTACTGTCATTTAATTTTGTCTCCTGCTTTGCCTAGTTTCTGAGTTACAACTTGTTTTCATAGACGATTCTGTCCAAATCGATTGGTGTCTTTAGGCACTATTTGTATAATGACTGATCCAAATTGATCCCATTTCTGTGTTTTTTACCTCGATATTTAATCATGTCATGTAAAAATCTGTTTGTATTCTCAAAACAGTGTCGGCCCATAAGTTTTCACATGCAATACAGCAATTAATACTCCCTTGTTGTAACCCGTGTTAGGTGGTATAAACCTACACATGTTATTTGTCATCATTCACTTGATGGTCAGTTAATGAATTTATAACAGGTATAATTAGTGGTAACACACTTAGATTACCCGACAAAGGTTCCCATTTGGCATTTCTTGTGTCTGGAGTAAATATTCAACATTATAAACATCGATCAAAGGATTAACCGATAACACGCTGATTGATTAATTACTTTTATCTTACACAGCGGAATTGTCAAAAGGTAGTGTTTATGTATGTAAATTTACTAATCTATACTGAATACACTCTGTCGTGTCGGTGTCTCGCGTGAAAACAACGCCCTTCTTTCAAAGGATTAACCGCAATACATTGATTGATTGCCCATTATTGGCTAACTAAATTACTGTTTTTAAAGAAAGGCGGACATTATGCAATTAGTTGCCAGGTGTGCTATCTTGGGTGACCAATGAGACTATACACCAATACCTGAAAAGATTTATCACTTTTTCGTATATTAAACTGTTAAAAGACACATCATTTGGAACAGTTTTGTGGATATTGATGCATACATTCCTCGAACAAGGTAATGGCCTGATATTGTTCCTATAACATTAATCTGTTTTAATTTTAATATTTGCATTTTGTTTTTATTCATTTGTCGTAGCATTCAACAGAATCATTGTTTTCGCCGTGAAGTGTAATGAGACAGACAACATACACTAGGGTGTGTGTGCGAATTATGATTCACATTGGCAAACTATAAAATGTCTAGATATTACAGTTCTGTTATAAATTCACTATAAGTATCAGCAGATCGTCTGCTTTTTATTTAGTTTCAAAATGCATACAAGTATGATAATAAACTAATTAGGATTATAAGACCAAATATAAAGACGCACATTGACTAGTATCTACATACTGGTGAGTGGACATTAACCATGTGAATGTAGCAAGAAATTTATCGCGCAGTATTGTCACTTCGACCCCCACCTCACTTCCGTGGAAGAAATCGTTATGTTATAAGTTGTGTCATGCAAAATCCGTTTGGTTATGATTCCAATACATATTTAACTACGGGTAGAAAGTAGTTTTGATTTTCTAACTTGATGAAAACAAACTATAATCTCATTAATTCTAACAGACTTTACGATTTTCAAAAATGGCGGCACCCTGTCGCGAACATCCGCCAGTCTGAGGATAAATGCTATTTAGGTTTGTTTTCACCGAGTTACAAAATCAAAACTACTTTCTACTGGTAGTAAAATATCTATTTTATTGATGGCCAATAGGATTTTGCATGACATAGCGTATAACATAACAATTTCTCTCCTGGCAGCGAGGTGGGTGTCAATATAATACTACTTACAATATTATTGTTACTTCGACCACAACCTCACTTCGAGGAAGAAATCGTTATGTTACAAGTTGTGTCATGGAAAATCTTTATGGTCATCAATCATATACATATTTTACTACAACTAGTAAGTAGTTTTGATTCTTTAACTTCCGTGAAGCGATCTGAACACAAGTAAGATATCGCTTTCAGGCTTCCACAACGCTAAAGCAAGACTCACAAACATAACCCATTTAGCACGAACTGCGCGGGTCCTGTGGAAATCTGTGCATGGTGACACCATCGCCCGACCCCTAGGAGCAATTGGCGACAAAGCAGCGATTCGGCATGTCGCCGTTGATGTCAAGAAATCATCAAAATGATGAGCGTGCTACACACTTTCTATACAACTAACTGAAAATCGTTCCTCATATGACGTCACTGCAGTGCTCTGGCGACAGAGTTACGTAACCTGTCTGTGGTTTCGTTGGCGGGCGAGAGGGAAGCAGGCGACTTTTTGGCCACTTTTAATCACTCGGTATTAATTAACCACAAGTTTTTAAAGAATAAATTTGGTGTTCCGCATAAGACTAACCACAAATCTTTCATATGTAATGGTTAAAAGAGTAACAAAAAACAAAGTTTATTGGTTCTTTAAACAATCAAGTCTGGACCAGACAATCCAGTGATCAACAGCATGAGCATTGATCTGCGCAATTGGGAACAGATGACATGTGTCAACCAAGTCAGCAAGCCTGACCACCCGATCCCGTTAGTCGCCTCTTACGACAAGCATGGTCGACTGTTGTGGCAAGCTTGGTTTGCTGAAGACCTATTCTACCCCGGATCTTCACAGGTCAGGGAAAGGAATGAGTGGGACCAGTTAGATTACATTTCAGTATATATCTTCAGTAAAAGGTCCAGGACAAACACCCTTCTGAAAGAAGTTCAACCCCGGGTGGTGGAGTAGGGAGCAGGACAATGCCACCCGGACAAGTGCCACCTAGGACAATTGGCACCGAGTGATTTCTACTATAATAGTGAGGACACTTGCCACCCATTCAAAATTTTTAGGAATTTTATTTGAGAAAATGAATGCAGGTTGTCAATAAACACAACTTTAGATGATAAAAAGTCAATGGTTTCTTGGTAAATTCATATTCTGACTTTGATCAACTTTTAACCTTGAAGTAATTTTGACTTTGATGAAATGGGGTAGCCTTGTGGTTAAAGCATTCACATGTCACACCGAAGACCTGATTTCTCCACATGGATACAATGTGTGAAGCCCACTGCTTAAAGTGGCATGAAACAATACTCACTCACTCACTCACTCCTAACTATTGAACAAAACTGTAAGTGCTTCATCTCACCTGGTTATACAAATTAAACTTGTTGACGTGGTTCTTGTGGATGTTGAGTTTCAGATACACCCCTACAGCATCCACATGGACAGACTTGAGTTCCCGAGCCTTGTAACCAGTCTTCTCATTGTCCGACAGAGACACATACCTACACACAAAAACAGTACAAGTCCTCAAAATACTACAAAGTTTGCAAAGACTCTATGAAAGTCATTTATACTGGACAAAATAAGTTAGGGATATTGGTATGTTTATGATTGATATTGTATTAGTGTGTCAATGAAGAAATAGATCAGTATTCATAATTTCAAAATTTACATATATCCCTAACTATTTTTGTCCAGTATATATATTTGTCAAAAATTAACGAAGACTAGTCCTATATCACGTTTATCGCTTTAGTGCAACACTCTAAAATAATATCATCTAAGCCCAGTGTTTCCGCTGTTTTTTTTAAACAGTCGGTCACTGTGTCCAATGACCACCTGATTTACTGGTCCTGCATGAAATCTGCCAATCACAAAATACAGGGCTTGATTTAAGAGATGTTGACCTAATTGCACCAGGTTCAACCTCAGATAAAAGCCTTGTTGCACAAGCCAAATTCCAGTTGCACTGCTTTTATTGCAATATGTAGATGTAATTATCTAGTACGGCTGGGTATTGCAGAGAATTTTCATATTGCGATATATTGCGATGCAAAAGCGTATATTGCGATATGTATTGCAATATATTGCAAGAAGGTTTTTTTCAACAAAAAAATACGTATAATCGAGTTAATGCTTGATTTATAAAGCAAAAACACAACAAAATCACTATGCTTGATTAAGATTTAATAAAAACTTTTAATCATGACAAAAAACAAATGTAAATAATGTTTTGCACAAATAAAAAAGGAAAGGAACAACTTAAAAAACGGAAATATCCAAAGATTTCCGAGTGTTACGAAGTTTTCCGAATGCATGTCAAAATACCGGTTTTCAATCAGCGTATCGCAATACGTATCGTTTTCATGTCTGAACCGGTAAATACCGGTAAACCGGTTATATTGCGCAGCACTATTATTTAGATGTTTTATTCAGAAGTATACCCACTCAAAAATTGACTTGCACATGGTGCAAGTTAGACTAATAACTAGGTTGCACTTTGTAATATTTGGTTGCACCAATGCAAGTAACAGAGCACTAAATCGGGCCTTGAAATATGATAGTTCCGTTGCCCTCATCATATCGGAGCCATTTATATTCAGATATCCAGTCTGAATTAACTTTCTGTAACTCTGTAACGGTTTTGAAGACCGATTGCAACTTGAATTTGAATCATTGTTTTGCCCCTTACTGTTTGTTTTGTCATCCTCAATAACCGAAACCGTACCTTTACCAGAAAAAAAATTGGACAGCGTTGTCTGCTTTCTGCTTGTCATTTCAACAAACACATGGTACATAAACAATCGGATAACATTGTTATTTTCCGTGATTTCCCATGACAACAGTGATTATATTGATGTTTTGAGGTACAAAATATATCAATCATTTCCGAGTGACTGCCAAACTGACCAATCATATTGGAGGGGCATAATGAATTTAGAAGGAAACCTCATCTCACACGAAAATTTTGAGTGGCCGATTCTATTATCAGAGCATTACTTCAGCGATTTTATTTCAAGTTCGGTAACATTAAGCAGGACAATAAGTAGCTTTTGTATTTTACAGGACACTGTGACCGATAGCCTCCAAATTTATAGGTCTTGGGCATTTTTTACCGGCCAAAAACTTGTATATACCGGAGAATGGAAACACTGTGAGCCTATATGGAAATTAAGCAGCAACTGGAATGAACACTTGGGGGCCATTCTATATTCTTATCTCTAGGATAAGAGTTCTTGAAACAACTTCACACACAACTGTTACGTCACTGCAGTGTAAATATGTCCTTTGTATTGTACTCACCCGAGTCTGGTGTATCGAGCTGTGTCCAATGACAGTGGCACTCCATCAGGGACATCGCCCACGTAGAACTCTATCTTGGTAGCTGAAACAAAAACACAAGTCAACATCTTCCACAAACCGTTATAACATTGTGAGATAAATCAAGCCATAGCTTTACAGGCGCATAGTAAGCCATATTTTTTCCTGTAAGCCCGCTAGGTTGCAAAACTTTATACTTAGATATTATTGAGGGCTTGTCCAACTTTCATAGCAAAAATCCTGTGAAAGCCTGGGGTTTTTTTGATAATGGTAGCTACTCCCCTGCTATAAGCATAGGTCAAGACAACATAACTGTATGAAGTACATGAATGATTCCAGGATTATGGACAGACAGACACATGGAATGACAAACATGATGACTTAGCCCAAAATGTTAATTAAAGAATAGGCACAAATTTCAATCAAAGATTTTAAGTTGGGTGCTAATTTGCAGACGATACAATGGCCTGAAATGACTGACTGAGTATGGTTTTACGCCGTTTTTAGCAATATTCCAGCAATATCACGGCGGGGGACACCAGAAATGGGATTCACAAATTGTACCCATATGGGGATCGAATTTGCGGCCTTCGGCGCCGACGATGGGTTATTTCCACCCTGTATACGCTTTAACTACCTATAAGGTACTATGGTTACCTATAAGGTACTGGTGAGACAGGATCTGTATTTTGCGGAGTCGAGATCTCTTCTCCAGCTGAATGACAATATCTTGTGGATACAAGCAGTACCTGGTATGGAAAAACAAACATGTCAATACTGGGAAATACATTTCTTACTGCTGTTTTCACAGCTGCTTATGCCTAATATTGCAATGTTTATGATATATGCTCATGATATCAATCACTTATTTACATAGCTATATCATATAGCCAGAATATTGCTGAGTGCGGCATTAAACAAACAAATAAACAAATTTTAATGAAATACATGCCACAGGGCTCCAGATAAGGGCCGTATCGGTGTATGTACGGATAAAAAATATGCCGATACAGTAGGAAACAATATAGAAAACGTAGCAGATACGCATCACAGCAATGGTGTGCGGACTTAGAATCATTTACAGACGTATTTATATGAACAAGTACTTTATTGTTTATTGACCTGTTTACACAAGAGCAGCAATGTTGTGGTGCATATATGAAACCAAACACAAGATTACTGATACTCGATTAAATTCCATTCAGTACTCTAAATGTACACACAATCCTCTCAATGCTACTGTCGAACCAATTCGACAGGAGAGCAGCATAATGACATCCCCAAATAAAACTTGCAATAATTATTCAACAAGTGGGATTTACGTGTCATTTGACTTATGTATGGAATGCATTAATTCTCAGCTTTCTAAATATGTAATCTTCAATTAGTTTATGTACCTTAAAAAGAAAAGCCAGCGAATTAAAAATGTGCTTGCCAAAATTCTCGGCACACAACCGTAAATAACGGCCATTGTTGACTTCAGGCACATCACGTCGAGTGGCACCCAGTCTAATATTTTCTTCATAATGAATTTTTTTTTTATAATTTGATCAATATATTTGTTCTTTGGTGAAAAGGAAACACTGAAGTTTCCCATTTTCTAAAAAATAGTAACTTTCGGTTTAATTATTTATAAACAAAAACAATCTCAATGTTACATCACCGATGAATAGGAACGATCATGGCAATGGCGGTAAACAAACAACTCCACATGCATCATGATACCGAAAAAAATATGCAATCCTTTTGATAGATCCAATTATTTTCGCTGGAATTAATTACATGGTCTGATTAGGTAAATGTTATTGTCTTTGTAACACATTTATCATATTTATCGACTTTATAATGATTTTGTTGGATAAACCTTCCGACACTGACATTGTTGACAGCCATAGGTGACGCGTCAGGGCGTGGTCAAACTCGCATGTTTTTTAAGTGACGAGACACGTACGAAGAGCGTTAGAAAATAAGCGTTCAGAATCAGAATCTGAAATCCAAAACATTCACAGAAAACGACTCAATACCTAAATAATACAATGAAACATCATCACAATATTTGTAATTGTACCCACCCTTGATGAAACCGGAAGAACGTACGGCATGGCACTCATGGAGGTAAAATAGACACGAGTTGGAAAACAACCATTGATACATTTTCTGAATTGATTCCAATTCCCGTAAAAATCCAAAATATATAATAGAATTAAGTTTATATTTACACTCAATTCGTTACTTTTAGCTGTTTTCAACAGCAGTTGGCATTTTTGCTTGCGTTGTATATTTTGTCCCCTCAATATTGCCGCCGATGCGTAGATCTTTATGTTTACAAATTCGAAGTCTTAATGGATCTCGCGGTCGATGATTTTTTAATAATGTTCTGACACAGGGAGATATTATAAAATGTCAGTATGTCATAACAACAACATAATGTTGTTATGTGTCTATCGTCACAAGGACAATTCTGGTGATTGAAGATGTCATGCCATTCTCTTCCCACAGAGGTTACTCCTGTCATATCTTCCTACGTAACCTCTGTTCTAATACGGCCCTTTCATGGTGTGAGCGTTCAAGACTCGTGATTGGAGACAATCAGATTTAGTTGTGCAATCAGCGACGTTGTTTCAAAAGTGATCATTCGCAAGGCCTCGGTAATTCCCGTATACTTCGAGAAAACTAAACCTCTTCCCCTGCGCGATGCGCAAACGTTTCTTCTAGACAGAACTCAGTCATGTTATGGCGGATCAGTGGCGTCTCCATCGCCCCCCATGACAACGGACAAGCTAGCCATTAAACGTCTTGTGTGTAGTATCAACACAAGTCCCCGGCAGATGGGGGATATTTGTGGCCTCACATTTGCTTGTGTTAGTCAAGTTGAATCTAAGTCGATGTAACACGTGTTCTGATTGGATAGAAAGAAGGGAGATAATTCGTGTTGCGATCTTTTGCCGCTAGGGGATTTTGTGAGAAACGGGAAATATGGCCGTATTAGAACAGAGGTTACGTAGGAAGATATGACAGGAGTAACTTCTGTGGGAAGAGAATGATGTCATGCATGAATTCTTTTTTCCTTTCACAGAAACGGATGAAACCAGATCTAGTGTAAGAATGTGATGTAAATGGATTTCTTAAAAATTGGAATGACGGGATAAAAAATAGTCACTGTCTGTGTGAATGCATTTCACTCAAAATCGGTATTTATTTTAGACATTAAAACAGTTACACAGCACATCTTTTGTTCTCCAAGCAGGAGCAAAATTGAAATAAGTTTGTTACCTCAAAAAGCAGAGCTTTCAAAGTTTTAATTCTACCTACTAGTTCCTCACATTGTTTGATGTGTCCATTTTCTCTAAAACGAATTACTGGTCAAGTGACCCAGTGCATGGCTCAATTTAGCATTTAGAATTTGCACAGGTGCAACCTAAAACTGCTAAATGTAACCTCATATTTTTACCTACTTGCACACTGTGCATGTTCATATTTTGCTGTTAAAAAAACAGACATGTTGAAAAATTATCTGGAGCCCTGATGCCGCCTCTACCAAGCCATCACATCAGTTATATCAGTAGGTATCCCGTATTTATAACCAAACATTATAATTTCTTAATTTAGGAATTTTTAAAGACATCTGTTGCAGACTTGTGGAACTCTATCAGCATCTCAGCAGGTCTGTATAAATTCTGTATGGTTCGTAATCATTCATAGACCTTTACTGCTGTTTCAGAACTGTCATAACCTTACCAGACCAAAAGAAATGTTACTGTATTCAGCCACTTGGGGCAAATAGTTTTGAAACATTTTCTAATGAAGCAAAGATTACCTTTCCACAGGTTTAGGCTGAATCCCCACCTCACATGGGCTCAGTATAAAGTAAATGTAGCTGTCTGTCTTAAGCAAATGGTTATTTCAACTGACTAAACATTAGTACAGATGGTTGTTTACCTTGAAGACTGCCATCCCTTAGTGAGGGGACCGTGGCTGTTGAGTTCCGTGGCCCGGTAACTGTCATCCTGACCCGACACATGCACCACTCTAAACTGGAGTTTCGCCGGCATCCTTGCTCTGCTTCATCTATCTACAACACAATAACATCCATCTCAGTTAGGATTCATACAAGATTCAGACACATAATTCAAGTACTTTAAAGTTTTTTTTAGACTCCTACAGTAAACTTCATAAGACACTCTGTGCCATGTTTAAGAGGCTACAGCAGGGTTTTACCTTGTCCTGCAAATCTAAGGCTCCAGAAAATGCGAAATTACTAATTTTAAGGGTCCTTCATGAAATAGGTTGATGTACAGGACCCTTGCACATTGTGTTAACCTTTATTGTTGCAATAATATGTACATGTAACTGTTATACACTGCATATGATAAATGGGAGCACCTTTAGAATACAGCACCACAACTTCTTGTGGCAGTCTCTGTCAGAGGTCACATGTCACTGAGACAAGCAACCAATTTTGTGAGAATCTGTCGGAAGCAAACCCATGACCTTCGGACTGTTAGCCTAACAGCTAACCGACTGAGCTACGCCCACACTGTTACACAATGTGCTTAAAATTATCTAGTTATTCCTGAGATGTTATGGAAATTAACGGACAATTCCGAAGATTACTTGATATCTCTTGATTTTAATCTACAGACAATTGATGAATGGCCCCGCTGCCATTTGGCCCTCTCGTCCCATTCTGTAATCTACAAGTTCCTGAATGGTGTGGAATGAGCTGATATGGCGCAAAGTGAAAACAGCTGTTGACATCAGACATCGAATTCACAGCATGCATTTTAAAAAAATCATCGGGTGATATTGTGACAGAATAGTGTTGCAAGGAACACTGTAAGGATGGACCTGTGAAGATCCGTGTCAGAATTGTCTTCAGCGACCCATGCTTGTCGTAAAAGGCGACTAACGGGCTCGAGTTGTCATGTCATCATATCCCAATTGTGTAGATTGATGTGCATGCTGTTGATCACTGGATTGTCTGGTCCAGACTCGATTATTTACATACCGACACCATATAGCTGGAAAACCAACCAACAAACCAACCAATCAACAACTGTCAGGATAATGTGGATTGCAATAAGGAATAAGGGAGACATGAGCAATTTGGGTTCCATTAGACAAAATCTTCAACATTAAACCATTTCATTGTGTAATTTCAACATTTTTGTGTGAAAAAAGTATTTAAAATCTGAAAGGATTATGTTTAGCACACAAACTCCCATCAGCTCTTGGCTTACTCAATGACAATGTGTGTAGAGATGACAGAACACTAAGAGGAGGCACACCCAATATCCCAGCAAAAGTTTGATGTCACAAATCATTGTTTTTGGTAAGGAAGTTTCACAACAAGCGCCATAATATTTCGTAAGCATAATCTAATAAAATATGAAAATTTAAGGTGATTCCATCTGGTTTTCAAATTCACAGATTGTTGGGTGGCTCATGCTAATTGGTATCAGATGTAGATGCTGGTTTATTAGGCTCTGCTAATAAAATGGCGCTGGCTGGATGATTTGATGAGTTTTGTTTCCCTTAAACCGAAGCAACAGCTATCGAAGTGAGAAAATATGCTCTATATTTTCATACTGACCAGTAGTGTTGGGAATTGGTTGAAATCTCACAATTGATGACTCACAATTGATGATTGGTTCAATACCAACGACCAATCATCGAAAAACATTCGTTAGCGTCATTTTTTAGATTTTCCTATTCAGGTTGTAGTTGTACTGATCTAAACTTACGCTGGTAGTAGAAATGCAACGTTCATATTGCCCCATATGGTTTACGCTAATGACAGATGTAATTAAAATAATTCAGAGAAGATATTTAATCCGAACGTAAACCGTCATCAAACTGTTATCATTTGTTTTTTTCTGGTAACGTTCGTCTTAACGTAGGGGGACAGAGACATCAATAGAACAGCGCACCAGTTAGCTCTGTACAAGGATTCTTAATTTAGGTCATCGACACCGTCGTTTGTTTTCTGCCTTAAATTAATCGTAATTATCCTTAGAAAGTATTAAATTTGGCATCTTAGAAAAGAAATATAGTTCGTTTACCACCATGTATAGTGTAATAAAATTTAAGCCCTGAACTATTATAGCGTTAAAGCACTCGACGCAAGCCGCCTCGTGCTTTAACTATAATAGTTCAGGGCAAAAGTGTGTTTTATTACACTATACATGGTGGTAGAGAGAAGTGTATTTCTTAAATCAAACACTTCATCACTCAAACTTATTCTAAAAAAATTGGCACGACATAGGTTCTTAGTTTTGCAAAATCAGAGTTATTGCCACAACAACACAGAACATTACTTAATATCATACCAAAATGGCACAACTTATGTTGGTGGCCAGTAGGTAAACTGAGAAAAAATGACTTAAACTAATGGAAAACATGGTCATATAAATAGGTGGATCAAAAACTATTCCTAAATCCTACCAACAACTTCGCTGGCACACGAAAACAACTGCAAGTAACATCAATATGATCAATTCACTGCTACAACATTGGGCCCAACATTGTCCATTCAAACATCACTGACAGGTTGTAACAAGTGTTCGTTTTAATAATGTTTGTCCACATGCTCTGACCAGATGGCAATAGAAAACAGTCGATCGGTGGACAACATGATAGTAATTTTGTGTTTAGTAAGCTGAAACTTGTCGCTTGACTATATCTTCCAAATAAAGACATCGGATACGTGAAGTCATATTCTTTTCGACATTGGAATGTGACTTTCGTGCATTTGTTTATGTTTTGACAGATACGTTTGTCAGCCGGTAACATTCAAATATTTCATGGCACATGGCGTCATTTTCTTATGTCATGTTATGCAAATATATCGATACTCACACATATACGCGGGACATTCAGCTATATTGGGTAAAATCAAGCGTACAATTCACATTTTATCTTCTTGACGACGAATAAACCGCGCAGGTTGTGTACATTGGAGCTCGGCGGAGTTCTCGTTGACGCGAGACTTGGACAGATAAATTACCAAAGAGTATTGCTCCTTAAAGTTAATTTTCGATGCATGAAAACGAAAAATTCCCACAGAAATATGCAATAAAATAGATTTTTATTTAAAAATAATTTTCCGTGAAATCGACATCAGTCATTCGGAACAACACTATCTCTGCGGGGAGATTGTTATATGTATTTCTGCGAATGTTTTCTGTTCGCGGCGTTCGTCCTAAAGCATCCAGTATAGTGTTACTGCAAAGATGTATAAGTAAGGAATAAACTCCGAAGACTCGCCAATATTCGCGCAGCTGGTTGAGTCCGAGGCCGTTAGGCCGAGGACCCAACCAGCCGAGCGAATATTGGCGAGTCTTCGGAGTTTATTGCGCTTAAACCTAAAATCATACATATTGGCGCCCTAGTTTCGTAACTCTTGCACCCGAACACAGCAATATAAATATTGGCGTCCTACATCTGGGTAGCACGGTATGCACGATACACACGTTATGAACACGCTCAACTGTGCACGAGACAGCATATTGGAGGGATACAAAACAAACGAAAATATTTTACTGCATCTATTTTACCAGATGTTTTCAACCATGTCAGGAGAATGGGATCCTTTAAGCGATGTCTTTGTCACTCAAAATACATTTTCCGAAGCTACAACTTTGAATGTGAGTGACATTAATTCAGATTTTGAGGAAATTTGAAAGGAAGTATTTCGAGTGTCAGTTCTGATATCACTCTGCAATGGGACAAAAATCATGTAGATACAGTTGGGAATAGTATTTCGGATGAGGAATTGCTGTGTGAGTCGCAAAACCTAGAACAGGAATTTGACCAAATGAATAGTTCAGCAGATGATGAACTGATGCTTGCTTCTCAGCAGATAGAAAAAGAAAGTGATCAAACAACTACCAGACGTTTTGGCAAACCCCTCTCAGTTTCTGAATATCAAAACTTGGAAAATCTTGCAAAAAATAAACATACAGAAAAGAAAAGCCGGTGGGCAGTGCGGATTTTCGATACATGGCAACGTGAAAGGGATGGGTTTGAATCCGAGTTAGGCAGCAAATTATTAAGTCTTTCGGATGAGGATCTGAATAGAACGCTGAGTCTATTTGTCACAGCAGTAAGGAACCAAAGGGGAGGTCAATACAAGGGCAACACAATTCATGAGACTCTTATTTCGATGCAGAGATTCATGCGCCAAAGTGGTCGAGATGTTAACCTAACCACCGATTTTGCTTTTAGGGGTTTGAGAACCATTCTTGATGCTAAAATGAAATCACTGGCCTAGTCTGGTATTGGCATGCATAGAAGGCGAGCTAACGTCATCACACCACAGGAGGAGGATGCGTTATGGGAGAGGGGTTTGCTTGGGGATGACACTCCGGAGAAATTGCTTGAAACCGTTTTTTATTTGAATGGGATAAACTTTTGTTTACGAGGTGGGGAGGAACATCGTGCTCTAAAAGTAGGTGAAGTTTCAAACTTCTGTGTTTTTAGAAGAAACAACAAAAAACAATTGGTATACACTGAAGGGGTTTCCAAAACGAATTCAGGAGGGCTAAAACATAAACGATTGTCTGCTAAGGTCATTTCAGTGGATATTAATGAAGAGAACCATGCCCTTTGTCCAGTTAGACTTCACCAAAAGTACATGTCACTGAGGTGAGTGAATAACTTAGTGATTACTGAAAATCTTAAAATTGAAAAAGATGTGAAATTCATATCCTCTTTTAAAAAAATAGCTTTTTGTATAAAAACACCCATGGAGACGGCTACAGTGAAGCTTGTATGCAATGTATGTACCACTTGATTGCAGGCCAGTGGGTTGTGATGACTTTTACCTTCGTCCACTCAAGTACCCTAAGCCTAACCAGTGGTACTCTGCCGCTTCTATAGGGAGACACTTCTGTCTGGGGTGGTCAAGAGGCTCTGCGCCAGGGCCGGGTTTGAAGGATTTTATACAAACCACTCCCTAAGGGCTACAACGGCCACACGCCTGTATGAGAGCGGTTTGGATGAGCAGCTGATTGCCGAAAGGACAGGTCACAGATCGACAGCTATTCGTGCATAAGTGTAGGTGTAATTGCATTTGAAATAATCATATACTGAACAACAGGTTGATTGATGACAAATGGGCACTGGTATAATGAGACATATGTGCACTGTATTTAATGATTATTAATCACGTCTAAGTGCGATGAGGTAGCCTAGTGGTTATAGTGCCTGCGGTGCGGGTTCGATTCCCCACACAGGCACAATGTGTAAAGCCCATGCTTTGTGTCCCCTGCCGTCATACTGCTGGAATATTTGCTAAAGGATGTGTAAAGCCAAACTCACTCGCTAACAATCACTTGTAAAATGTATATCAAAATATTAGTGAGGGAGTAACATGTATTGAATAATTATGTGCTATATACAATACAGGTACACGAGAACAAGCGAGGGCATGTTAAAGATTGTTGATGATGTTGTCCAGAGGAAAACACCAGCAACTGCCACATCAGCGACTAGCTCGCCAACACCTCACTCTCCGACACCACTGACCCCAAGAGACGTCAAGACGCCAACTGTTCAAATGCTAAAACTGTACACTTCGTTGTTGAACGCGACGGTGCAAGAGTGACATTTGACATGTAATAAAGGGATGAAAACATTGTGAGGTTTTGTTTCTATATTTCGGTAATGACTGACTGACTGAGTTTAGTTTTACGCCGCTTTTAGCAATATCCCAGCAATATTACGGCGGGGACAACAGAAATGGGCTTCACACATTGTGCCCATGTGGGGCATCGAACCCGGGTCTTCGGTGTGACGAGCCGACGCTTTAACCATTTCGGTAATGTGGGTATTACTGTTTGAATTCAGCGTTTGGACCGGGTCGGTAATAGGGCGCCAATATTTGAAAGTAGGGCGCCAATACACCAGATAAAGTCGCCAATATACGAAGCTAAGTCGCCAATAAACGAAAGATACGGGCTTCCCATCCCATGCTTATTGGAGTGATATGTTGTGTAATGGAGGCAATTTTAGGTTTAACCTGATTGCGTAATACCCCCTATACTGAAATACAGAAACAAACTCAATGTTTTCATCCATTTATTACTTGTCAAATGTCACTTTAGCACCGTTACGTTCCACAACGAAGTGTATAGTTTTAGCACTTGAATTGCAGCAGTATAACGGTGGGGGACACAACGCATGGGCTTTACACGTTGTGCCTTTGCGGGGAATCGAACCCGCGCCGCAAGCACTATAACCACTAGGCTACCTCACTTATTAATTACGTCTATGGGCGGTGAGGTAGCCTAGTGGTTAAAGTGCCTGCGGCGCGGGTTCGATTCCCCAGTCATCACAACCCACTAGCCTGCAGTCAAGTTGTACATACATTGCATACAAGCTGCACTGTAGCCGTCGTTGTTTTTTTAAACAAACTATTTTTGTAAAACGATATGAATTTCATTTTTTTTTAATTTTAAGATTTTAACTAATCACCATATTATTCACTCACCTCAGTGACATGTACTTTTGGTAAAGTCTATATGGACAAAGGCCCATTCAAATAAAAAGCGGTTTCAAGCAACTTTTCCGGGGTGTCGTCATCCCCAAGCAAACCCGACTCCCACAATGCATCCTTCTCCTGTATTGTGAGCCTGTGCCAGTGGTTACATTTTAGCGTTTAAAATGGTTCTTAAACCCCTTTCAAGCAAAATCGGTGGTTAGGTTAACACCTTGACCACTTTGGCGCAAGAATCATTGCATCGAAATAAGAATCTCATGAACTATGTTGCCCTTATATTGACCTCCCTTTTGGTTCCTTACCCGTGAAGGTCCGGGTTAGAATGTGCCTTCAGTAACCCATGCTAGTTGTAAGAGGCGACTAACGTGATCGGGTGGTCAGGCTCGCTGACTTGGTTGACAAATCATCTGTTCCCAATTGCGCAGATCGATGCTCATGCTGTTGATCAATGGATTGTCAGGTCCAGACTCGATTATTTACAGACCGCCGCCATATAGCTGGAATATTGCTGAGTGCGGCGTAAAACTAAACTCACTCACTCCTTTGGTTCCTTACTGCTGTGACAAACAGACTCAGCGTCCTATTCAGATCTTCATCATAAATACTTAATAATTTGCTGCCTAACTGGGATTCAAACCCATCCCTTTCACGTTGCCAGGAATCGAAAACCCGCACTGCCCACTGCTTTTCTTTTCTGTATTTTTATTTTTTTGCAAGATTTTCCAAGCTTTGATATTCAGAAACTGAGTGAGGGTTGCCAAAACGTTTGGTAGTTGTTTGTTCACTTTCTTTCTATCTGCTGAGAAGCAATTAAGCATCAGTTCATCATCTGCTGAACTATTCATTTGGTCAAATTCCTGTTCTAGGTTTTGCGACTCACACAGCAATTCTTCATCCGAAGAACTATTCCCAACTATATCTACATGATTTTGGTCCCCTTTCAGAGTGATATTAAAATTGACATTCGATATACTTCCATTTAATTGCTTCGGAAAATGTATTAATGTTGAGTGACAAAGACATTGCATAAAGAACCCCATTCGCCTGACATGGTTGAAAACATATGGTGAAATGGATGCAGTAAAATATTTCGTTTGTTTTGTATCCCTCCAATACGCTTCCACGTGCACAGTGGAGCGTGTTCATAGCGTGTGTATCGTGCATACCGTGCTACCCAGATGTAGGACGCCAATATTTATATTGCTGTGTTCGGGTGCAAGCGTTACGAAACTAGGGCGCCAATATGTATGATTTTCAGTTTAAGCGCAATAAACTCCTCAGACTCGCTTAACGGCCTCGGACTCAACCAGCCGCGCGAATATTGGCGAGTCTTCGGAGTTTATTCCTTACATATACGTCCTTGTGTTATTGTTAATTTGATGAGTTTTATCATATCAAAATTAATGTCTCTTTCATATATGTGTCATTAGAAATGTGACGAAAAGTATCTACATGTACATTCATACTTGTCTCCGTGTTATTGTAATTTCATTAAAAATTGCTGGTTTCAATAGTTAGAGTAGGAGTGAAACTGTTTTCGGTCCAAGAACAGTGTAGTTGGAAACAATACCAGTAGCCAAAATGCAGCGAAAAGAAATAGCGGAATTACACGAGGCATGCCGAATGGAGATCTGGCGGTAATGTCAAGTCCGATTGCGGAAATACACAAACAAACGTGCTTGCAGAAGCCACTGAAAGAAGGACCTGATGTCAAATAATGTTCAGCCGTTTCCTGGCTCTATTTAACGGCGGAATGAGGGCATACAAAGTACAAGATGTTGGGAGAGAAGTCAGAATAGGCGTGGCAGCCAAAAACTTTGAAGACTTGAAGAAAAAAGGCTGCGAAAAACTCGAGGTTGAAATCTATTTTTATATGATTATATCTCATTCATAACAGACGAGTTGTTTCGGTCGTTTGTCAGCTTCAACACTACATTAACATTTTAGCAGAGAATCAATGTTTATGATAACATCGATGGCCACGATCGACAATGCAGGGTAATGAGAGTCATATGAGTATTGTTCAAGATCATTGTTGTAAAATATGGGAAACATCTAAGGACGGAAAGATTTCCACCCATAACCCCGGTTTTTTTATCATTCTATGCCTAAGATTTATAGTAAGAATAGATATTTTTACATAAAGCCTAAACCCTAATCCCTTGAGGTGAGGTGAAATTAGGTTTAACGTCGTGCTTGAGAATATTTCGCTCATATGACGACGTGCATGCGTGTGTATGTGTATGTGCGGCTACTTGTACTAGTCCAGACTTAAGCTGGTTTTATAGTGCTAGCCCACTGAGATACCCTAACCCCTTGAAACAATCCTAATAAATAGAATCAGAGACCATATACCGGTATATGGTCTCTGATAGAATACATTTCAAGCGGGGGTTACAGGTGGAACTCTTACGAAGAGTCATAGTTGACACTGGCCCAATTTTTTGTCAATTTAGTATATACCACTTCATGAACAAAGCAACTGAAAGATTATCATAATGATATATATGTATGTAACACTGTTTGTTTGTTTTCTAATGCCGCACTCAACTATATCGTAATGCAGTGTTTAAAACTCCCAAAATTCCAAGCCAGACAGCAGGACGGTAATTTAAAAATGATTACCAGTCCGGATACAAACTTGCCTGTCCGGTTTTCAACAGTAAAAAACAAAACAAAAAATGAGGTTTCTGAATTCTTTACTGCAGGAAGCCCGACAAATTTCCGTAACATCGTGTTGCCTTATGATAGCAATGATAGGCATCGCAATGAACTACATAGCACTAACAGGCAATGCACCAAGTTTAGGTAAACCGAAAGTACACGTGTTGTTATTGGTTATCGGGGCGGTGGGGTAGCCTAGTGGTTAAAGTGTTGGCTCGTCACACCGAAGACCCGGGTTCGAATCCCCACATGGGTACAATGTGTGAAGCCCATTTCTGGTGTCCCCCGCCGTGATGTTGCTGGAATATTGCTAAAAGTGACGTAAAACCAAAACTCAGTCAGTCAGTTATTCGTTATCGTAACGTGAACTGTCCAATCATAAGTAGTTTAACATAATTTTCATAGTACCTTAAACACCTGAAACTAATGTCAAGAAAACCTGTCTGATATTATGAAATATTTACTGAGAGGGGTAAATATATCTACCAGACCACTTTTGACCACTACTTTTGAAATTTGACCGCCCAAGATGAAAATAGACCATTCCAGACGGTTGGGCAGGCTGGAATTTTAAACGCTGGGTAATGGTAATTAAATAATCGAATTTGTCCTGACAATCCAGTGATCAACAGCATGAGCATTGATATACACGTGTCAAGGCTGACCACCCGATCCTGTTGGTTGCTTCTTAAAACAAGCATGGGTCACTGAAGACTAGAGTAGTGTTTTGGCAAATAAATTGTATTGCAATGCATTGCTATTCTGGTACCCATATTCCAATACGTATTGCGATATATGGGGAGCCTCGGGGTTTGACAGTGAGTGACATCAATTGTACATGCAGAGCCTATTTTCTACACACATAAAGATTTTTGGTTAATCCATAAAATAAACTTAATGGTTGTGAGGCCATAAATTTCAAATTTAGTTTTGATTTGAGGGATTGTATTTTCTATTCTATGAATTGTATTGTCTGTAAAGTCTGCTGTTTTGTCAGTTAATTACAATAGAAAACTTCAGTGTGAATGAAAGCCTTTGTAAATTTTAACTTAAACCATAGAGATAATCACAAAACTTCATATATACCCGGTATACTTTATTACCCAATATACCGGTTCTGAGAAAAAAACATTGCAATACGTATCGTTTGAAAGGCTGTTTTTCAGTATACTGGTTATACTGTGGTGTCCTAATGAAGACCAAATCCAACCTGGATCTCCACAGTCTATAAAACACAGGATAACCCAGGATGTTCATCTGTACAATGAATTATTTCTTTCAGCTGAATCCAGACGATGTAACGGTAGTTATAGAGGATGATGGCACTGTCGTCGACAGCGAGAGTTTCTTCAAGAAGTTACCTGCGCAAACTGTCTTTGTATTTCTTAAGAAGGGACAGGTTTGGAATGGAGGTACGAAATTGATTATCCCTAAAAGTATCTTTCAAGTTGAAATATGTATTGGGGCTGTAGACATGGTAGATATAAGTCTAAATATAGCTCACTACTGCCCCTTTTTGAATCTACAGGTACAATGTACGACAGTTTAAACACTTATATAAGACAAAATATTATGGATGTCAACTTCTTCTTTATTGTATACACAGCGTTTCTGGGATGTTCCTTGCCCCTTCGTCAGGTGAAAGACAGACAGCGTCATTCACCTGACGAAGGGGCAAGGAACATCCCAGAAACGTTGCGTATACAATAAAGAAGAAGTTGACATCCATAATATCTTTTCTTCTACTTGAATACCAACTTTTATATGCCTCTCAAGAACCTCATTGTAAACACTGTAGTACAATGTATAACATTGCCTTATAACACCACACCTCATTTTAGGAGTGTAGAATTCTAGTTTTCTTTTCCAAAATCCAATTGAAAACAAATGTCAATTCCTCAAATTTTATTCCTCATGGTAATATGTTGAATATGATGATATGGAAGTGTGAAGACGTTCAATTTTGAAGATTGACTGAAATAACAAAAATAAAGGACCATAAGTTTCAGTCCACAGTGAAAATGCAGAAAATGGCTGACATTCATTCACTGACAAAGTTACCTTCAAAACCAAAATATAGACATTCAAAATTACCAAATTAACATAATGCTACCCAAATAAATAGATATAAGAATAAGTTGGAGTACATACCATTTTGTTTGACTTCTACATCATGAAATCTAGTGTGTGAGACACTCTCACTGCACAGCTGTCTGTCACCCATGTGCCTCTCAGGCACCCCTCTAGAGTTACCCGACCTGCCTTAGCCTCAGGTAACTGAATCACCTCAAAAATCTCTCTCTCTCTGATATTTTCACATTGTCATAACCAAAAATTCTTTCTTACTTTTAAACTCATACATGCACATTTTTATACATACATTAAGTCACACATTCACAATTTGATACAAAATACTCAAAAACTGACACTTTGCATATAAACTTAGTACACATATCTTTTGCACTTCATATTTATACGGGGCGGTGGGGTAGCCTAGTGGTTAAAGCGTTGGCTCGTCACGCCAAAGACCCGGGTTCGATTCCCCACATGGGCACAATGTGTTAAGCCCTTTTCTGGTGTCCCCAGCCGTGATATTGCTGGAATATTGCTCAAAGCGGCGTAAAACTAAACTCAGTCAGTCAGTCATATTTATACACTCACTCTTGCTACTTAAATGCAAACACTCTATCCATTCATACCAATTTATATACAAACAAAAAATAACCTATTACCTGAATACTACAAGGAGCATCCACAAATATGAACACTTCCTGATCTGTGACATCCCAGCCAGTAGATATGGAGTAATGGATACTAGATAGTTGGTCTGCTTCTCTTCAGCTGGAGCAGTGATACACGAAGCTCTCACCAAACTGTTGAGTGCGACGCGAAGAAATGAGCTAGCCAATCAAATCCGTGACCTGATGGAGGACGACAAAGCGCCGGAGAAAGTACACATAATGTCCCAGTACTTGGACATGCTGGACACAGACGTGGAATCGGAACACAGACACGAGAACGAAGACTGGTTCGAAGGTCAGTGTGTTTTGAAATAATTGTACAAGCTGTTGGTCCGATGTTCTTGGTTCTTGTACAGATGAATATTTAACTTGGGGAAAAGGGTTTACACCTGCACAGAGGCTAATATTAGGCCTAAAGTCTACAGCCAATGTCTGTTAAAATTCCCGAATCAAATTAAATATGTCCAGTTTGTATTAACAGAGTTTAACTAACAAGATGTCACTGATCACAACAATGATAAAGAGGTATTAATGTTTAATCGAGCATCATTTCATATAATTCAATGTTAATAAACCTGGGAATTTAAGTAAAAATTAACTTATATAAAAGGCAATTTTTTTAAACCAATTTAGCTACCAAGAATGCATATTTTGGAATCCTTGATAAATCCCCACTAAGCTGTTTTCATTTTGACCAAGTCAGCTTTTTAAGACCTGTTTAAATAACGGCTCATGATAACAGCTTGAAACAATCATGAAAATAATGCCGAAAGAAGAACCTGAAAATATTTTCCCTTGAACAGAAAATGTTTTTTTTAAAACAGGAGAGTATGTAAGGATATCTTGAACTCATTATTACTAGGTTTAAACAAGAAATACAAGACCAAGAGCGAGGTGATGAGGAATTCAGCGCAGACCAGGATACGGAGCTACTACAACAGTGTAAGTGTACTGGTTCCTGGCCCTGCCAAGGGATCAATCTCAGAGACGGACAAAATGGAGATAGCATTCTGTGTATTCCCAGTTATGTTTTGTGACATGTTCTGATTAAAGTAATGAGGTGTTTTTGTTCAGTGCTCATCATACGGACAAATGTACTGAGACGCATAAAGTTATACTGTGTTACATGGCTGAGTGGAGGTCATCTGTGTTTTTGTTCATGCTGTCAATCACTGGCTTGTCTGACCCAGACTTTACATGTAAACAATATTCCAGATTTGTTTTGTTTGTTTAACGCTGCGCTCAGGAATATTCCAGCGATATGGTGGCAGTCAGTAAATAATCGAGTCTGACAATCCAGTGATCAACATTATGAGCATGTATCCATGCAATTGGGATACGATGTCATCAGTCAACCAAGTCAGCGAGCCTGACCACCCAATCCCGTTAGTCGCTTCTTTCAACAAGAACAGGTTGCTAAAGACCAATTCTTACCCAGATATTCACAGACCGCCTCCGTGGTGTAGTGGTTAGAGCGTCCGCCCGGAGTGCGGAAGGTCGCGGGTTCGATCCCCGACCGCGTCATACCAAAAGACGTTAAAATATGGTACTTGTTGGTCCCTGTCTGGCTCTCGGCATTAATGGGTACAACAAGGACTGGTCGGCTCGGAGTCAGTATAATGTGTCTGAGTGGGGTATTCATGCTTCACTGCGGCATGGTATCTCAGTGGGCTAGCACTATAAAACCAGCTTCAGTCTGGGCTAGTACAAGCAGCTGCACATACACATACACACGCATGCACGTCGTTATATGAGCGAAATATTCTCAAGCATGATGTTAAACCCAATTCCACCACCATCACCACCAGATATTCACAAATTTATTGCTTACTGTGAATAAATATAAAATATCAACATTTTGCCAAACGAGATTAATCAGTCCTGCTTAATCCAGCAAACGATACTTCTCCGTTGGAGGCAAACTGACATTAAAACTTGGATCAGTGTTTCATGGATTACACCAGGTATTGAAAAAATCAACTTCATTTATTCAGCACCTTTTTCTACAATTTGTTCTGTTCGGCTGTTTTAATGAAATATTTCTTCCACAGGCCAAGGAACAGATTGAAAAAGATGCAGATGCTAAGAATAAGCCAATGCTTCTGGAACTGTTGGAGGAACTGTACGAAGAACTCAAGTCTCAAGACTTCCATGGAACATACTTTGACCGGAGGGCCAAACCAAGGGAGAGAATCTGTGACAACAAGGGCTGGTTCCTGTGTCAAGGAGCGTTTGATGAGAAATCCTGTGAGAAACACCACACTATCAACCCGTATGCTTCCAGAGGCTACAGACAGCTGTTTGGTCTGTGGAATCTCGACCATATGTGAGTTGCTGTTTTATCACATAACCTATTGATAAGATAAGATAATTTCTTTATTATCCGAGGGGAAATTTGTTTGGCATCATATACAGTTCTCCAGTTTTTCCTTCATAAGGCAGCCATATAACATTGCAAATAATAATCATAAAACTATTGTTTAAAATAATCAGGATATAAATACATCAATTTAGTACACAAACATAGATATTGACTAGAATTTGGACAGTTGGAAGACAAGTCATTCATTGAATTTATTGTTAATGCATCTAATACCAGCTGGAACAAATGAGTGGCGAACCCTGTTTGTTCTAAAAGTCGGATACGCAGCCTGCGTCCAGAAGGTAATGATGAATATTCCAAAAAAAGTATGTGAGTAGGATCGTTTAAAATTTTGTTTGCCTTTTTTGAAATTTGTTGCTCATAACAACTGTCGATACTTTCGATAGGAAGCCCAATAATTTAAGACGCAGTGTTTACGATTTTGAGAGTTTGCTTTTATTATTCTGTACATACAGATTCCCGAACCAACTCAAGAAATTAAAGGTTATGACACTTTGAATAAAGGTTTTGTAAAATGACATCACGATAGTGTGGTCGATTTTAAAATGTTTTAACTTCCACAATAAATGCAAGCGTTGTTGTCCTTTCTTATATATTTTCTCAGTGTTTTTGTTCCAGGAGAGAAAAATATATAAGAAAGGACAACACTTGCATTTCTTGTGGAAGTTGAAACATTTTAAAATCATTTTAATGCATAGTTATTAGTCTTTAATAAAAGCTTAGAATAATTAAGGCAAGAATTTATGGATCAGGGGTGGAAATAACCCATTGCCCGACGGCCGAGTCCAGTGTTTTTTTCTGTCAGGCTATCAAATTTGTATATCACACTGTACCGGTGTCCACTTGACTTTCCAATGTTAATTATGTTGTTTATGTTAAAAAATCAACCAGGAGACAGCCAGTATAGTGGAAAAATTATCAGGGCAAGTGATTTTACATGTGCGACTGTACCGGAGTACACTAGCAATTTTAAAGTTATTTCCACCTTTGTGGATGTCAACTTCTTTAATCGAGGAATGTGATGTTTTGGAGTATAAGATAACAACAATCCCCAGTAGTTAATTGGTGCTGAGTGGTAAGTAGTGGTGGTCCGATTAATTGAAATAATCGAAGAATGGTCGCAGTGACTAAACAACCAAGCAATCGAACATGTTTTCTCGTAATCTAACACGACCAATCTTGGAACACTTGTTTGCATTAACAATATTTTTCACAAGGCTGGTTTTGTCTGTGTCCTTATATTTACATTTCATAAGCACTACAAGCTCGTTCCAAGTCATGACTGAATTTATCTTAAAGAATTCAGGAAATATGTGTTCCTAACATACTAATCATCCTTTAAATATGCGAAATTTGCAAATGGATTTAAGCAATTTGCTAAAAACAAACAAATGTTACTACATGTTTTTTCTTTATATTTTTTGTGTGCATTAACAAAAATAACAGGGACATTTAATAAATGATGCTAACCAATTAATTTCGATGATTGATCGGTTGTAATGAACCAATCATCAATCATTAGATTTTAATCAATTCCCAACACTAGTAGGAAGGGCAATGGACTGATAGAAGCCAGAGATTAACCTTGACCTCCATAAATTCTTGCCTTGATGTGTATCACTTCTAAGTGCCGTTCAAAGACCTTTAAATAATAATTGACCAATTAGAGAGAATATTTTCTTAATCTAATTTCATAAAAGTTTTCATGTAATTGAGACCACAACATTATCAAATGGCAGAAACTAAATTATCAAATAGGCAGAAACTAAATTCAGTAACAGCAAGATCAGAGAAACGTGAGACCTTCAAAGGATGTTATATATTTACTCACAGACTGACAGTAAGCTGTAGTGAGTGAGTGAGTTTAGTTTTATGCCACACTCAGCAATATTCCAGCTATATGGTGGCAGTCTGTAAATCCAGTCTGGAGCAGACAATCCAGTGTTCAACAGCAGGAACATCGATCTACGCAACGGGGATACGATGACATGTGTCGACCAAGTCAGCGAGCCTTGCCACCTGAGCATGGGTTACTGAAGATCAATTCTAACCCGGACTGGCGGTTCTTCACGGGTGTAAGCTGTAGAATAATACAGATGATAAATCAGAATGTTGCTGATGTGTAAAATTTTGACCTGGCAAACCAGTGGTCGACAGCATGAGCATCATAAGAAATCACTTTTATCTCCTATCCTTTATTTTGTGAGCTTTAATATAGTTTAATATTTCAAGGTGTGACCATGTGATAATTTTTTAGATGTTTTTTTCTTTCAAGACTACAAAATTTTATCAGTTAAATATATTTTGACTAAATATCCTAGATTGTTGTTTGTACTGGCATGTGAAATTAGAGGAAATATTGCAGCAGTGATAAAAATATTTCTGCCCCTGCTGACACGGCCATGACATGTAACTGACTCTGTAAACATTTTCCAGAATCGAGAAATCCAGAGAGGTGATACCAGGGCTGATCGAGGCAGCACGACAAAAACCCAAGAATGCTCATCTCAACTGGGAGCAGGTGTATAAACTCTTGTTCACCAGGGACAATCTCAAGTTTGTACAGGTCGGCTGCCACAAGAAGGCAGCTCGAGAATCAGGCAGTTGTCCATGGCAATCTTTTGTTGTCAAGTGATACATCACAATGTTGTTATTGTTTTACAGTGCTATCTTCCCACAGCAAGGGAGATAACTGACGATATATAAGTCCTATTTCCCCCTTGCCAAACTAGGTTGGAATTATCAGCCCCGCCTGGAATCCACAGCGAATTTTTAAGAAATCCGCAGCAAATTTAAGTAAATTCTGCATTCCATTTTTCAAAATTCTGCAGTTTAAAAAAACCCACAAAATAATGCAATTTCAATCTTCAAAAAGATCGATTTTGTGAACATAATTGCAGTGTAAAATTCAAATAATATTATTGTAAGGGGCTGAAGAAAATATTACCTTATGAATAAATGACCTTTATTCATGAATTATTTAAAGATATCGTTATAACAAATGTCTCAGTTCATTTTTGAGTAACCAATCATACTTTTGACATTTACCCCTACTTTTCGTTTCGGTTGATGGTCAATCTTGATTCAACTTTCAAAATAAGTAAATTCCATGGCAGAAAAATAGCAAATTCTGCAGGTACTCTGCAGGTTTTCCGCAGACCAGACGTTTTTCCACATCCTAAGAACAATTCTGCAATTTATTCTGCAACCATGGAATCCAGGCGGGACTGAATTATTGAGCTGTAGTTTTGCTAGAATAACGAGTTCAGTATACAATTGGGTACCAAAAGTGGCATTAGGTTTGTGAACGGCCCTGCAGACTTCAGTCAATTGTAGGTTTTATGTACTACTCAACACTTATTAATATTTTTCGAATCTTGTTTTTGATCAAGGTGCACAAGTAAGTGCACTTCATGGAGGTCATATCCACTATATTACAAAAAAAGATCTTGATTATAGATGGTAACATTTGAATAGGGGACATCATTTTGGTGCAATCTGATTGGGAAACAGGATTGGCATTCAAGGGACATAACTCAGAATGGCCTCTGTTGGCTCTGCCATAGAGCTACAATATTTCGAGTTTGGTATTGCTGGAAACTTGACTCTGTAGTGAGTGAGTTAACTCCCTTGTTGAGGGAAGATGTACCACCTTTACAGACGCAAGTTGGTTTTCCAGGCTCTCATTAGCCAATTTTTCTATTCCTTTATGTATTTGTAGCAAAAACATACAAAATGGTTTATGTTGTGTAAAAGCGGATGTATGGATGAAAGAGTCGATTCTCTGACTTGGATCTGGAGAAGAAAATCTTTAGTCGGAGATGAATTACAATGTGTTGAATATTATGACAAGTTTTAAACAAAATGACAAATGAGTAATCAGTTATGTTTTTCGTTGTCAAAACAGATGGGATATTATTTTCAATAAGAGAAAATATGTCACGGTTGTTCTGAGGAAATTGTATTTAAATATCTTTCAAAATATATACTAATCAAATAATAATGTTAAATAATTTTTACTTTTATAAGAATTGCATTTTTAGAGAAATCACTATATTTCTCTGTGTGTGTGTGTGTGTGTGTGTGTGTTATTTCTGTTTTTGTCTCAAACCAAAACAAAGTATGTCATGGTCTGAGTAAAATGTAGTTTCATGATATCTTAGTAATCATTGTCATGTTGACAGCAAACAAGAAGATATGTTGTTCATGTTTGCTGTGAAGCAGAGCGTCGAGTTGTCTCACAGATGACATCCTTACCTTGTCAGCTTGCTAACGGGGTTAACCTCTTTGGTCATGTGGACAAGGTATCCGACTTTGATTCGGAAATTTTATGGCTGCTACTTGTTTAAAAGAGAATCAGTTTGTTCACCATATCACAAAGTGCCCTTAGTAATGAGCTGATTGGAGAGCAAGATCTGGGTAAGAATTGACCTTCAGGAACCTATGCTTGTGGTAAGAGGCGACTAATGGAATGGTCAAGCTCACTGTCTTGGTTGACATGTCATCCCATAGATCACTGCTGATGCTGCTGATCACAGGATGGTCTGGTCCAGACTCGATTATTAACAGATCGCCGCCATATAGCTGGTATAGTGCGGAGTGCGATGTTCAACAACAAACAAACAATCGTACTCTGTAGACTTTATACAGTCATAACTTTGTGATCACCTTGAATGGGACCTGGTCTTATTAGAACATGTTGCAATTGGCTAACTGAATGTCTATTGTTTGAAGATAATGATTGTAAGGAATCTGCAAATCATGACGCTTTCCATACTTGCATTTAAGTAAGTAAATATAGACTGCCGGATAATCGCTCACGCTGACCCAAATGTTTACCTCCTCAACTTGAATGAGTTTAGTTTTACGCCACACTCAGCAATATTCAAGCTATATGGCGGCAGTCTGTAAATAATCGAGTTTGGACCAGACAATCCAGTGATCAACAGCATGAGCATCGATCTGCGCAATTGGGAACCGATGACATGTGTCAAGCAAGTCAGCGAGCCTGACCACCCGATCCCGTTAGTCGCCTCTTACGACAAGCATAGTCACCTTTTACGACAAGCATGGGTTACTGAAGACCAATTCACGTGTAGTGAAAGGTTTCACATTTAGTGAAAGGTTTCACATTTAGTGAAAAGGTTTCACATTTAGTGAAAGGTTTCTCACGTAGTGAAAGGTTTCACATGTTCTGTCAAATGGGAAGCGCCTACCATTTACTCAATTTGCAGAAGAGTGTACGTGTTTGTTTGCTGTCAGTAAACAAGGCAGACGATCAAATTATGGCACAGAAAATCAAGTGAAACTATAGTGCATTTATAGATATCTTGATGCTGGAAGGGATGGTTGACATAAAGTAGAAGAAAATGGGTAGAAGAACATCTTCATGTATGCATTGGAACTTTTTTTGCATATGTGTTTGGGCATCTTTATATATGCAATGTACCTTTTATATATGAACACACACAATATATATTTGCACCATGAATTATAATGAATTGTTGCGTTGTTTTAGTAAGGTTGATTGGGCAGCCTTATGAAGCATTCCTTTGTGTCCATGGATGCTAATTTGTTGATGGGATATATTTTAAGTACATATAATTTTTGTCCATTTATTCCACACATGAAATGTGCCTTTTACATAACTAAAACCCTTGTTTTAGCATGTTGTATGCTGTGATCTCATGTATATGATAGCATATGTTAATGTCCAGTTTGAACTTCAGGGGATTTAGATTCAATTTGTGCTTAGAGTCTTCATCCATTGACCTTGGGATGTTAGGAAATGTGTATGGTTGTGTGATCATTGTGTGATTCAAGACTGTGTCACAGATGTAGACATGTTTGCCTGGGTGCCCAACTCTCCGCCATCCAGAGTTGAACCATTATGACTCTAACCTCACATTCTCTCACACTCAGGGAACCTATCCACTAAAGGTTCATAGCACTATGCCATTCGTAAAGATATGGTAAAGTATAGAGTTACGATTGGTCGTAACGTTACAAACACTTCGTGGATCGGGATCCAGGGCCTAGATTTTCGAAGCTCTCTTAGCGCTAAGATAGTCGTAAGTTAAGGTTAATGTATGGCACTTACGGCTTCTCTTAGCTTAAAAAAATCTAGGCCCAGGGTCTTGTTCCTCAAAGCGATCGTAGCGCTACGATGATCGTAACTCCCATACTTAAACATAGACTTACGACTGTCGTAGCACTACGGTCGTTTTGAGGAACGGGGCCCTGGGCCTAGATTTTCGAGTGAGTGAGTGAGTGAGTTTAGTTTCACGCCGCAATCCAGTGATCAACAGCATGAGCATCGATCTGCGCAATTGGGAACCGATGACATGTGTCAACCAAGTCAGCGAAACTGACCACCCGATCCCGTTAGTCGCCTCTTACGACAAGATAGTCGCCTTTTTATGACAAGCACATGGGTTGCTGAAGACCTATTCTACCCCGGATCTTCACGGGTCCCTAGATTTTCGAAGTTCTCTTAGCGCTAAGATAGTCGTAAGTTAATGTTAATGTATGGCACATACGACTATCTTAGCGCTAAGAGATTTCGAAAATCTAGGCCCTGGATCCCTAATTTGTCATCACCGACTTGATTTTGGTCTCTGTTGAGTTGTAAACATTCACACCAACATTACCTCAGGTCTACCTTCCAACACAACCAGACACGGAAATACTTGTAAAATGGCTGAAATCGGTCATACACCGACTTAGTTATCCATGTCAGGATGTCCTGTCGTGTTACGACAGTGTAAAGCTGCAATCTTTGGGCGTGCCAGAAAACTGTGACAGTTGCTCCAATCAGGCCCTGTTCAACAAAGAGACTGTAGAGCTAAGATGATCGTAACTCCCAACATTTTAACATAGACTTACGACTGTCGTAGCGCTACGATCGGTTTCTCGAACAGGGCCTAGATTTCCGAAGCTCTCTTAGCGCTAAGATAGTCGTAAGTTAATGTTAATGTATGGCACTTACGACTTTCTTAGCGCTAAGAGAGCTTCGGAAATCTAGGCCCAGGGCCTAGATTTGTCAGCCGTGTACCTTCACTGGTGGGGTTCACTCAAGTGGTGAATGTCTAAAGCCAGCGTCACTTCGGGCTGTTCATCATGCTCAATCTGACATACTAACAGAAATAGTGTACTAAACCATCTCACTTCTTGATGACAGCTTTTTCCATGCTAACATCAGAATTTGTGGCGTTTCGACATGAACGTGTAAAACTAACAATGTGTGGAGCTGACGTATTATCTGGGCATGTACACCATATGTACGTATTACTCGTACGGTTGTCCAATACCTTGTCCAGTTTACACTTTCTGGTTTAATGGCATCGACATGTGGCGTCCACTATTTCTGAAGGTTCGTGTCATGAGGGCCCACGATGTATTTATGCATGTACAGTGTTGAATTTAACTGCTCAGAGTGTATAAACATGTTACATTTGTAATAACTTGTTTGTTGACTTTGCATTTCATGCCCATTTCAACTCGCCGGGCCCGCTGGATCTTAGCTATACGATTGTCGCAGGTTCGGCTCTCTTATTGTCAGAGACAAATATTAGGAGACGGAGTGGTTTAAAAAGCTGTTTATTTACCTGTAATGAGAAATATCAACAATATGAAACGTTGATATGTCTGCCATCGTCTGTAGCTGACAGGTGACAATAGAAAGTGAATTCAAATTGTCCTTACAGACAATAGATAAAATAATGGTTTAAGTAAAATAGGCAACATATTTATAACCACACGGGTAAGAGTTCCGCCCGTAACCCCCGCTTGAAATGTATTCTATTTATTAGGATTGTTTCGAGGGTTTAGGGTTAGGTATAGGCTGTTTAAAAAAAACATAGGTGTATATTCTTAGGCATATAATGATAAAATAAATACGGGGGTTAGGGGAGGAAATCTTTCCAATTATTATACTAGCAACTAAAGGTAGATGTAAAATGAACATATAAGGAGAGTGCTTACCTGTAATTAGAAACATCAACAATATGAAAAGTTGATATCTGTCTGCCGTCGTCAGAGGCTGACAGGTGACAATAGAAAGTGAGTTCAAATTGTCCTGACTCACAGGCAAAAAGCTCGTGAATTACCTGTGCGTCAGATACAGGTAGCACGTACAACTCCTTATTATTTGATAGTTGAGAGGCAGCCGCAAGACAGAAGATGATCGTAATACCCGCACTCGTTCGCTCGTCACGCCGATTTTCCAAATGGGTACAATGTGTGAATCCCTTTTCTGGTGACCCCCGCCGTAATATTGCTGGAACATTGCTAAAAGCAACGTAAAGCCTTACTCACTCAATCCCATATAGTGTAAATACACACTTATTTCAGTCAAATGGAAAAGTGTATCCGTCTGGGTTCGAATTCCAAATCTGCTTTGATGGTGCTTCTCGAATGGTCGAAACGACACTGTACTGAGTAGCACACTGGTCACCTCCAAGACATTCGGTGGGTTCACTGAAACAACGGTCAATGCGGCGGACATCTTAGTGAGTGAGTGAGTTTAGTTTTACGCCGCACTCGTGCGTCAACCAAGTCAGCGAGTCTGACCACCCGATCCCGGCGTACATCTGAACGTACTGATGAATGAGGAACTACTACGGACTGGTTCCCGACCTGTTTAAGGGCCATATGTTTTCTTACCGCCAGTGTCGGTCAATTAATTACACATCCTAAGATGAATTCAGACAGAAATAACGTTGGAGGTGTCATATTGTACATTTAATCTACGGTTGTAGAACTTCAAGTCTTACAGGAATGATCACTCGCGTTGATTTACATCATAGGTGTGTGTGTGTGTGTGTGCGTGCGTGCGTGCGTGCGTGTGTGTGTTTGGGCACCCTTCTTCTTTTCGGGTGAAAATGAAGTGTGGACCCCATCTTTTCTCAATAGTGTGCACCCGCCTTTCTCAAAAAGCTGTGTCCGCCCCTGGATTTACATGCTCCCGTACGGGAAATTCTAATTACCGTATTTTCTCTTATAACCGCCGGAGGTAAAGCAGCTCACTAACAATTACGGTAATTAGACCCAATAAAAGCGCCGGGTCTGGAAGTCCCTTGAAAAAATACGCGCCCGGGCGCTTTTTTAGAGGGAAATACTGTAATCATGATAAGAATACTGCGAGCTGCCAAGCATGAAGCCTTCTGTACTTACATTTAAATAACGCATGAAGACAGACATCTTGAATAACAATAACAATAACCATTACCATTTATACACTACATCTATATTAAATTCCAAATCGCTATTACTCTTTACATATTTCATATTTTTTACCTTTTTAATTCGGCCTCCCATTCAAATTTCCCTTAAAACTCAGTTGTTTTTTTCTTGGCTTTTATGTTTGTTGTTTTTTTTGTTTTTTTTTGTTGGTTTTGTTTTTTTTCTGAGGGGGTTGGGGTTGTTTTTTTGGGGGTGGTTGGTTGTAACACCACTCTTTCTAAGTTTCTATTTATAGTTCCGCGTCATTTCTTAATAAGTGTACTACCCCGTCGCCGAAATACCTTAGATGTGCGTGCGACGTTAAATAAAGCAAATAACAACAACATAGACATCTTTAATGATGTGTAACAGTTAACGTTGCAGGCGAGAGTTCCACTATGTACACCCATGAAGACTTGGGGCGGGGAGCTGGTTCCTGTTTTTTAAATGTAGCAAACCTGTAAAGAAGGAAATTAGCTTAAGTGGTTGCGCAAGGAAATACCCTCAAGTGTTTTGTAGACGTTGTAGACATTGTAGACGTAGTCGATGTTAGTGGTAACGCCATATACTACAGCAATAACAATGGAATTGACATCAGGGTGCAAACACCGAGTTCAACGCCTGTTGTACAATTAAGCATAACCTGCCCGAACACGTGTCCTGCACACACACGCAAGGGCAAGTCATTTGGTCACCCGAACAAACACGTAACGTCTTTGAGCCACAATTTCTCGGATTTGTTTCGGTCACGCTGAGGGGTCAAACTTGCAGTGTCCTCTTAGGAAACAGCGCTTGGCTTCGGATCGTGTTTCGTAACATTTGTTCGTTCGTGAATGTGACTCGCAGAGTACAAGACTAACAACTAGTCTCTGAAATAAACATATTTTATAGAAAAAAGGCTTTTAGTGAAAAACAAACATAATAAAAAGGAGCCCTGAGACTTTCTTCTAGACTTGCCACATTTTCTAGACTTGCGTGGAATTTCTTGGATATATTTGCTTCAGGGTCTGTATGACAGACTAGCAGAATACATATAATTGAACCTACTTGGAGAGAAATAACGTAAAATGTAGAAACAAAACTATATTCTTAACACGACGCCACTAATTGTTTTAAAACAATATTGTTGCAATGTTCTCACGAAGAGTTCGATACATATTATTTGTCCACCTTCTGTACAGACTGGCGTCCCTTGTCGAGGATTCAAGATTCGACAAGAAATTCAACTTAAGTCTAACTCACTCACTCGACACAACACAGCATTATACACGTGTATACCTGCTACAGCCGACTGGAAGCCGGCGTTGTAGTCGCACGCAACTTCGTTGTGGATGTAGTCGGTCCTGAGATCCTTGTAGTTGTCGTGGGCGTCAGGCCCTCCAACCAGAGCTCCGTACAGCACGTGAGCGTTTGGAGATGGGGAGTCGAAATTGCTCCAGTCACAGGTTGCGGGAGGATTCGGACAGGTGCTGAAGCAAAAGAAGCAGGTGCGCCACAGAATAAGCGAGTTCATTTCTAAAATCAACACTATAAGATTAATTTCTTGTTCACTCAACACGACGGACGGGTGGCCATGTGGTTTGGTCGCATTGTACAGAGTCGCTTCCCTTTGTTCAGTATGGATCCTCTGATAGCGACGCACGTGCAGCCAGCACAAAGGCTAAATTCACTCAGGTTTATCACTTGTTCGTTAGGAAAGACCGTTCCCACCCCCAAAGCCTAAAATCTTGGGGTGGGGTGTGGTGTTTGCATGTCATGTTCAAAATCGATTTCCCATGGAGATGCATATTTTTATGTACAATTGTGAACCCCCCCCTAATCTTTACAAAATGTACAAACAAAATGGGTGATCCCCCTCATCTTGCATGTCATGTACAAAACACACACACACATCGATAAACCCCCTTAAGCTTCCCATAATTTCTAAGCATAAACTTTAAACATACTTTTATGTCCAAACTTGCTATGGACTAAAACATTGTCAAATAAAGACGTATCGCTGAAAACAGTGACATTAGAAATTGGTTGTGAAATCGTTGGTTAATGTTTGTGTCTGCAACTATGAGTTAAAGTCAGTAAACGGACATGAACTTTAATTTCGTTGAATTATTTGTACGTCTTTCACTGCGTCACAATAGCAGCAGCCTGTCAACAGCAGTACAGAATCACTGGCATCTAGTCACCTTCCAGAATGGTGGACATGTAGTGGGTATTTCAACCCATAGCCGACGACGAAGCTCATATGGTACTTGTTGTCACCCAGCATATAGGAGATCTGACCTTCTGCCCATGCGCGGTATGAGTCAGGGTGAAGGCCATCCTCGGCCGCCATCAGAGCCAACATGGCTGCATTGGCTGCAAATGTAAAGACCTCACATGGCAATATGTGAAGTTCATATTTCTGTCACGAATTCAAGAACCAACAAACACGAATCATTGTACAATTTAGAGATAACACCTGGTTATCTTGGGTCGCTGAATACCTCCGGTCCTGTTTGAAGTATAAGTCTTTATTGAAAGCCAGTGTCAATACAATACATTCCATTTCTACACAAAACATTCCCCTAAAGCCGGCGTAGTGGTCTTAGTGGAGGCCAAGGGACGGCCGCGAACTTAGGGTGTTACAGTTATTGTTGAATTGATCCCGAAGTCATCCTGAATAGCTGAGTCGCTGAAGCCAACCTATAGCTTAATGATCCCACGCGTCTGTGAAATTCACCTGCGTAGTTAGATGGCTGTACCCACATACCTGAATGATACCAACATTTCTCTAATCTTACCTGCGTAGCTGAACGATACCCACATCTCTGTAAATCTTACCTGCATAGCTGAACGATACCCACATCTCTGTAAACTTACCTGCATAGCTGAACGATACCCATTTCTCTGTTAAATCTTACCTGCATAGCTGAACATCTCTGTAAATCTTACCACTGAACGATACCCACATCTCTGTAAATCTTACCTGCATAGCTGAACGATACCCACATCTCTGTAAATCTTACCTGCATAGCTGAACGATACCCACATCTCTGTAAATCTTACCTGCATAGCTGAATGATACCCACATCTCTGTAAATCTTACCTGCATAGCTGAACGATACCCACATCTCTGTAAATCTTACCTGCATAGCTGAACGATACCCACATCTCTGTAAATCTTACCTGCATAGCTGAACGATACCCACTTCTCTGTTAAATCTTACCTGCATAGCTGAACTGAACGATACCCACATTCTCTGTTAAATCTTACCTGCATAGCTGAACGATACCCACATCTCTGTAAATCTGTTAATCTTACCTGCATAGCTGAACGATACCCACATCTCTGTCTCTGTAAATCTTACCCTGCATAGCTGAACGATACCCACATCTCTGTAAATCTTACCTGCATAGCTGAACGATACCCACATCTCTGTAAATCTTACCTGCATAGCTGAACGATACCCACATCTCTGTAAACTTAAATCTTGACCTGCATCTTACCTGCATAGCTGAACGATACCCACATCTCTGTAAATCTTACCTGCATAGCTGAACGATACCCACATCTCTGTAAATCTTACCTGCATAGCTGAATGATACCCACATCTCTGTGAATCTTACCTGCATAGCTGAACGATACCCACATCTCTGTAAATTTTACCTGCATAGCTGAATGGCCCCCACTTGTCCCTGAAGACCAGACCGCACGGCGTGTACGGCACGGTGCCTCCCGGCATGAAGTCCTGGAGGAAGGCTTCAACCATTGCACTGTATTTCTTGTCCTTCGTCACCCCATACAGAAGCATCTGTGAACAACACACACAACCCAGTCATATTGGTACACTCAGAGACCATATAATACACTCTGGTACACTGTAGGGCTGGAACTATGCATCGAACTATCGATGGATTGCAATTGTTGTTTCCCCCTCAATACTTCTTTGATTGGCATTCTAGAAGTTGAGGATATGAATAATGAGGCAAATTTTATGGGATTAAGAAGTTGTATATCCATAATTCTCCCCACATCCTCATTCTTCCCCCTCAATAGTCACCCCTAGTAGTGAGTGAGTGAGTGAGTTTAGGTTTACGCCGCACTCAGCAATATTCCAGCTATATGGCGGCAGTCTGTAAATAATCCAGTCAGGACCAGACAATCCAGTGATCAACAGCATGAACATCGATCTACGCAACTGGGAACCGATGACATGTGTCAACCAAGCCAGCGAGCCTGACCACCCGATCCCGTTAGTCGCCTCTTACGACAAGCATGGGTTACTGAAGATCAATATTCTAACCCGGACCTTCACAGGTCGTCACCCCTAGTACACTGGCTTCATGTGACGCGGCTAGCTAAGTGTAGAAGACACTGACATCTACGAAGACGATATTTTTCATCGCCATATATGATATTGTGATCTGGCGTATTACGTACAACCGTGATATTGTCTTTTAAATTTGCGACCCGATTTTGATAAGTTTATGTAAGTCTGTGTATGACTTGTTTAAATTTTTGGTAGCACACTGGTCGTTATTTTCAATGGGCTTTTTAGTTATTTCACAACTTTCTGAAATTATTTTGAATTATGAAACTAACAGCGTTAAAATAAAAAATAAACAAAATATGTTCATTTACTGAAACATTAACATGTTAAGGTAATTTTACTTTTTTAAGTATTCAGATACTATCTACAAACGCACATCGTGTTTGGAAGTCAAACAACTCGTCATTATTATTAACGCCAAAGGTTACATATAACAGACCAACAATTGAAAATGTGATAACGATACTAGTCGATAATTCGATAGTAACGGATACTTTCCCCTAAATAGCTTATAATATCATTTACGTAAATGTATCTATCACCTACGTAGAATTAAGGTATCACTTATGTAGATGAAAACATTTCTATGGAGATAAAGGTATCTTCTTCTCTGATAGTGGTATCATTTACGTAGGCGATAATTTGCACTAATACGCTCCCATAGTAACATTGGACGAGTCAACATTAGTGTTTAGGATCCGCAGGTCAGTAACACATTCTTATAGCTGCTGCAGCAACGTGTCTCAAAATCTGACTTGTGTTATTGCATACATCGCCTATTGGTCAAACAAGCTGGGCCCTAGAGTTAGACAGTTCCAATTACTATTCTCGAAACGTTCGTAGCCCTACGAACTTCTTAACCCATCCTTAACACATTGGCTACAATCAAAGTTAAGAATTCTTAGGGCTACGATCGTTTCGAGATTAAGATGTTTTGATTATCTCTGGAACAATTCAGTCATCACGTGGCTGTTACGACGCCGACCTGGACGGCGACGTCCTTGTCATCCCAGTCCAACGCCCACGCTGTGCCCGTGGCGACGTACGTCTCCGCATCCTGCAGGTAGTGCTTCTCCATACTGGCTTTATACAGCCAGACCGCCGCCAGTGCCAGCTCGTCCTGGAACCCCGAGGATCTGCCACACAGATGGAATCGTCAATAGAACCGAGGATCTGCCACACAGAGGGAATCGTCAATAGAACCGAGGACCTGCCACACAGAGGGAAGGTCAATAGAACCGAGGACCTGCCACACAGAGGGAATCGTCAATAGAACCGAGGATCTGCCACACAGAGGGAATCGTCAATAGAACCGAGGACCTGCCACACAGAGGGAATCGTCAATAGAACCGAGGACCTGCCACACAGAGGAATCGTCAATAGAACCGAGGATCTGCCACACAGAGGGAATCGTCAATAGAACCGAGGATCTGCCACACAGAGGGAAGGTCAATAGAACCGAGGACCTGCCACACAGAGGGAATCGTCAATAGAACCGAGGACCTGCCACACAGAGGGAATCGTCAATAGAACCGAGAGCTTGCTAGAGAGCTGTTTCATTTCCACCCAATGTATCCTTTCCAACAAATGTTAGCGTACCACAAGGATACTTCGATACCAGTGAGTGAGTTTGGTTTTACGCCGCTTGTATTAGTATTATTCCAGCAATACTACAAAATAAGTGGGCTTCACACATTGTACCCATTGACCTGGGCCATTGGCGTGACGAACGAACACTTCAACGGCTAAGCCCCACCGGCCCTACTTCTATGTCAGTATTGGGAGTAGAGACCGACTAAGAGCTGAGATCGCTTCGATGAACAGGGTCCCGATCCACAAAGCGTTCGTAAGGTTACGACCTGTCGTAACTCTATGGTTTATCATAGGCTTACGAATGTCGTAGCGCTACGAACGTTTTGTGGATGGATCGGGACCCTGGCGTGTTGCGCTGTATGATTCGGGCCTGTCTTTCTGATCGCCATGCAATGGTACTATTCCAATGGGCTGTTAATGCAATGGTACTATTCCAATGGGCCGTAAATGTAATGGTACTATTCCAATGGGCCGTTAATGCAATGGTACTATTCCAATGGGCCGTTAATGCAGTGATACTATTCCAATGGGCCGTTAATGCAATGGTACTATTCCAATGGGCCGTTAATGCAATGATACTATTCCAATGGGCCGTTAATGCAATGGTAATGCATTGGTACTATTCAATGGGCCGTTAATGCAATGGTACTATTCCAATGGGCCGTATTCCAATGGGCCGTTAATGCAATGGTACTATTCCAATGGGCCGTGTTAATGCAATGGTACTATTCCAATGGGCCGTTAATGCAATGGTACTATTCCAATGGGCCGTTAATGCAATGGTACCGTATTCCAATGGGCCGTTAATGCAACGGTACTATTCCAATGGGCCGTTAATGCAATGGTACTATTCCAATGGGCCGTTAATGCAATGGTACTATTCCAATGGGCCGTTAATGCAATGGTACTATTCCAATGGGCCGTTAATGCAATGGTACTATTCCAATGGGCCGTAAATGCAATGGTACTATTCCAATGGGCCGTTAATGCAATGGTACTATTCCAATGGGCCGTTAATGCAATGGTACTATTCCAATGGGCCGTTAATGCAGTGACACTATTCCAATGGGCCGTTAATGCAGTGATACTATTCCAATGGGCCGTTAATGCAGTGATACTATTCCAATGGGCCGTTAATGCAGTGGTACTATTCCAATGGGCCGTTAATGCAATGGTACTATTCCAATGGGCCGTTAATGCAATGGTACTATTCCAATGGGCCGTTAATGCAGTGGTACTATTCCAATGGGCCGTTAATGCAATGGTACTATTCCAATGGGCCGTAAATGCAGTGACACTATTCCAATGGGCCGTTAATGCAGTGATACTATTCCAATGGGCCGTTAATGCAGTGATACTATTCCAATGGGCCGTTAATGCAGTGATACTATTCCAATGGGCCGTTAATGCAGTGGTACTATTCCAATGGGCCGTTAATGCAATGGTACTATTCCAATGGGCCGTTAATGCAATGGTACTATTCCAATGGGCCGTTAATGCAGTGATACTATTCCAATGGGCCGTTAATGCAGTGATACTATTCCAATGGGCCGTTAATGCAGTGATACTATTCCAATGGGCCGTTAATGCAATGGTACTATTCCAATGGGCCGTTAATGCAGTGGTACTATTCCAATGGGCCGTTAATGCAATGGTACTATTCCAATGGGCGGTTAATTATTTTCATATGCTTGATGTCGATACGCCGTTAATGTCAAGATGCGCGTCAAGACTGATAGATAGCAATGCGCTTTTAAGATATAGATGTGGCTGTTTTAATGCTAATTCTTACTGTAATGTTAAGATGCGCCGTTAGAATTGCGAAAGCCTTTTCTGCGTGAGTTAGTGAGTGACGGACCACACCACCTATGGTGTTTTTCAAACGATGTCACGACGTAGGACGACAATGGAAGAGAGGGACAACTGTGAAAATCGAACGTGGATCTTCAGCATGAGGAGACAGCGCTTAAATCACAAGGTTGTCTTACTGCTTCTCGCTACTCACTGAATACGAAGCTCATCTTTGTGTCTCCGTCGTAATATCGACATATGGCTCAAAACGGCAGTAAAATCAGAGGCATGGACGATGTTCAGTTATCTGCGGCGTAATACAACATTCAGTCACGTTCCTACTCACAAATTACCCGTAGAATTCCTTTGCATCCGTTACACTGTCGCTGTACTTTCCTTGGTGAGCCTTTGCAAATGCATACAGGCTTTTAGCGGCTGTCAGCAGCTTTGTAGCATAAACCTTATCTGAAAAACAAATCAACTTCTCGAAACAATGCGCTGAGAGTACACTTAGTGGCCTACTAATCCGGAAGATTTTGAACATGTATTTTTTCTGAAAGAAAACCGAAAATACGTACGGGAGGACACCTTTTGACATTTTTAATCATAAATTTCTTTCCGGGCGTCTTCATTGCTGCCTACCCGTGAAGATCCGGGTTAGAATATTGATCTTCAGTAACCCATGCTTGTCGTAAGAGGCGACTAACGGGATCGGGTGGTCAGGCTCGCTGACTTGGTTGACACATGTCATCGGTTCCCAATTGCGCAGATCGATGCTCATGCTGTTGATCACCGGATTGTCTGGTCCTGACTGGATTATTTACAGATCGCCCCCATATAGCTGGAATATTGCGTGTGGCGTAAAACTAAACTCACTCACTCATTGCTGCCAACGGCTTTAAGGCTTAAAGTAACAACCGCCATTTCCCATTGGTGACACGGTGGACAAGGCTGTACAGGAAGTAACGACCGTCCGTATTTTCTATATATGTATCGTCTTTACAATCATTAACCGTCCTCCAAGTATTAACGTATTTGTTAACTGTTTTATGTTTTACCGTAGTTACCAACGATTTACCGTAGTTACCAACGATTTACCGTAGTTTCCAAGAATGTACCGTATTTACCAGCCATGTACAGCCTTAAATATGTGCAATGTTTTTACTACATGTGAATAACGTCTTTCGTCTTTACCTAGTATGTAACATGTAGCAACATTAGCCGTCGACAATGGCGCGCTTGTCTATAATGCCACGTTTATCGACTTGCTCCTGGCTGTATTTGCCACGCGTCGCCTTTTTAATGTACAGGGAGGGGATCTCTTTCAGTGAACAGCTCATTTCTCTTATACCCGTTTAGTTTTCTGCAAATGGCAATTTTTAAACTTGATAAGCTTATACATTTCTTACAGTCCTGGCATGTTAAAGTACACATGGGTGTATACTTGGGTAAAATGCTGTTTCAGGGAACCTTTAGATATAACCACGATCAGAAAATCAGCTTGTGTCACTACTTGCTCGTCGTCGTGAAAACTTCAGTCAATAATCAATCGACGGATATCATCTCTACGTATACAGTTAGTCGTGTTATGATTCCAGAACATGTGCTGGTTGAAATTAGTAAAGCCCTGTTCTCATTCACGTGAAAATGTCTGATAAATTTCATCACAATTTACATTTTATATACATTTGTATAAATTCTAAAACTATACAGGAAATGTGGGATCACGAAGGCCAGTATCCTACTTTGACGTTTATCTGAAAAAATGAAAACAAATATATCCAACCTTTTGTTTCAAAAGCAATTGCTCCCGCCGCCATTGCTGCGGCCATTTGACCCGCTACGTCACTTCCGGGATGCGCTGCAGTCACCTTGTATGCTGGGCGGGGCATGGTCATATCTTCAGCGCGACCAAACACATCATGGTCAGTTTTGCCCTTGCCAACCTAAACAGTGACGTCATCATCAACATCGTGGTTCTGTCTTTGGGTTCAAGACAAATTGTCAAGAAAGCAAATAACATCTGAAATTTACTGAGAAAACAATGAGATAATAATATGTGAAAAGTAGTGGACATAGATAGGAAAAACTTGCGCCACGTGTGCTCCGCCCCTTGCAGATCTGTTTTTCGATGCATGCGAGTCAGAATCTCTGCTCGGTTTGGCAAAAATAAGGAAATTTGGCCAAGAACTTTAACTTAAGCTTCAGACATACCGATGATATGTACACCTATTCTCACGAAATTTGCACCAAATGATAAAAATTAAAGTTCTTTTTAAATGATAAGTCATTTTATTGTTAGAACATCATTTATTATTCACACAATTCAAACTATGAAAAGTCAGATGTCAAGGAGAACACGAAGATCGCCAGTCATGATTGGGACCCATGGTTGGTAAAGTAATTTGCTTATATTGATCATCAAACGTACTGTACAGGTTTACTTAAACTACGTGTTACTGGAAATATATTTCCGATAAGTTTTATCTGTATTATATTGTGATAAACAACACAACTTGGCCATTATACAACCTGAATACAAATCTTGTAATCTAAAACTCTACCATATCTATATTACAGAACTTAAGAAACATTACTGGTGAAATGTTGCATTAAAAGATACAATAGAGATTAACTGTTTCTTCGTTTCATTCATTATTTAAAGTACAGACAGTACAGAAGCACAGTGAAAATTCATCGAAACTGTAATTACATTCCCTGTTTAGTTAGATGTAGAATAGCAACAATGAGAAGCCATCTAAAAGTAAATAATCATTTAACGTTTAGAAGATTTCATGCCATAACTTTAGATCCATAAAACTATCTTACCTGAGTAGCCCTGATAATGTGTGATCAGTTGTACTCGGGTAAGACATCGTGCACACTTCAATTACGCTACTGAACAAACTGTCCGTCATGCCATGTGCTTTTGGCGCTTGTATGACTGCGCCATTATTACTTCTGGAACCAGTGCACGGTCAGTGCCAAAGGTACGTAACTATTGTGTGCGATCCGTGAAAAAGACGATGCTCCTTTGGAAATGAGGTCACGTAGATTACATAACGTAGATTACATAACGTAGATTGTACATTACATAACGTAGATAACATAACGTAGATTACATAACGTAGATTACACAGACGTCCTTCAGCACCCACCAAACGTATAAAGTGTAAAGGAAAAGCATCGCCAAGGAGGGATAGGTCTGCCGACATGCCAACCGGCGAAGGCGACCTCAAAAGCACCAAACACAACAAACAACATCTCCTTCACTTAGTTCTTACTACTGAATAGATCCGTTCATTTTAAAACCCTTTTTGGTGACACTGGTTGTACAGTTTTTATCTTATGGTGGTCACGTAGATTACATCCTTAAATATCTCTACAACTTTAAACCTGTGAAACATCATGGTGAGAAATCGGCTGAAATTTAGTGGCTATGAGATTGATATTGTATTGTCCCAACATAAAACTGCAAATAAGGAACATTATATATTAATTATATGGTTATTTTCATGGGGTAAAGTAGATTACACTTTTTTGGGAAACATCACATTAAACACGAATTCTAAAAGAAATAAAGAGATGAATACATGTTCTGGGTACAGACGAAAGGGACAATAACTTATGTCGAAAATGTAATCTGTTTTGTTCACACTAGATGACTATTTACTTTGAAATGACACTCAAAATGTTATACCATCATTGGAGACATGCACATTTTGGTGATTTTGACCAACGTTTACCCTGAGTCACACACAGGAATAACAGATCATTGACAATTTCTACGTCTCGGATACCTACCAAGCCTGTCGCCTAATATAAACATGAAATGAACAGGTGAAATCAGTAGCAAAGTTTGTTTTAAAGCGGAGACACGTAACATTACAAATGGTGCACATTTCGTGAGAATAGGTGTGTAAGCCCGATAGGCTCAAAGCGTTATATCTAGATAGTATTGAGGGCTTGCTCAACTTTCATGGTGATCCTTAGCAAAAATCATCATGTGTAAGCCAGGGATTTTTTTATGATGGTAGCTCCGTGTGCGCGTGGTGTGTGCAAATGTGTGGGTGGTGTTTGTGTAAGAGTGTGTTCGTGTGTGCGCGAGTGGAATGTGTCTCTGTGTGCGAGGTGTGTGTGCACGTGTGTGTGCGTACACGTGTGGGTGTGATGGGTGTGCGATATTTGGTCGTCTCTCAGCGAGGTGTGCGTACACGTGTCTGTGTGATGTGTGTGCGATGTTTGGTTGTCTCTGAGCGAGGTGTGTACACGTGTGTGTGATGTGTGTGTGTGTGTGTGCGATGTTTGGTTGTCTCTGAGCGAGGTGTGTACACGAGTGTGTGATGTGTGTGTTTGGTAAAATACTGGCACACACTGCCCAGATGAAACCAACCTGTACGTAAAGTTCTTGCCGCGAAGGTTCCCAGCACTTCAGGAAGTAGTCAAGCGGCCATTTTATGCAGCTGTACATATGATCCAGTTGACCCGAGCTGACGTACGCGTCCTTGAACTTGATCATCCCCCAGGTCAACAAGGTCACGGACGCTCCCATCGGAAAATTAAATTTGATGTGATCCCCAGCTGACAAATAGAATCATTGAGATATACTGAGAAATCAGGTCATTGACGTAGCATGTTAGCAAGTAAGACTTCTTAAAACTGATTCAATTAAGTACTGACGACATAGGTGAGGGGCGGTGGGGTAGCCTAGTGGTTAAAGCGTTAGCTCGTCATGCCGATGACCCGGGTTCGATTCCCAACATTGGTGCAATGTGTGAAGCCCATTTCTGGTGTCTCCCGCCGTGATATTGCTGGAATATTGCTAAAGCGACGTAAATCTAAACTCACTCACTCACTCACTCACATAGATGCATCCACCCTCCCGATTCAGCCCATGGTATGATAGTGTTCAACGCCACCCTCTGGAGTATTTAGGTGATATCATGGTGTGTTAGCTTGACGAGAGAGAAAATCAAATCCCGAAGTGATCCTGGTGTTTAACGTTGTGAAACAGAGATCGGCTGAACGACTGGTACCCGCTGTATTAAGGTACAAATGTATGATTGTGATACATCGATATGATACTGACCGTCATACCACCCTCCTGTGAGGTCTTCCCCGCGGTCCCCCTTGTCCCCTAACGCTGAGTCCCCCCTCCAGGGGATCCTGTTATCTGAAGGGAGTTTGCCGGAACGCTGGGCCTCGTAAAACAAGATAGAATCCCCAAGTAACTTCGTGTAGTTGTAGTTGCTGTTTCCACCTACATGTGCAATAAAACATGAATATCAGCACCATCAACATCATCATCATTATCATCATCATCATCAGTGGGGAGTTTGCCAGAACGCTGGGCTTCGTGAAACAAGATAAAATCCCCCAATCACTTCGTGTAGTTGTAGCTGCTATTTCCGTCTACATGTACAATATAGCATGAATATCAGTACCATCACCATCATCATCATCATCATCATCAGTGATGTCTGTTGTGCTGAGTTCAGTAGGACATTCTGCAGCTTCATTGCGAAGGCTCCTCAACATTATGCTAATCAGGCCACGTCTCCCTGTTATAAAATTCTTACACCGATTTGGAATAAAGAGGATTGTGTCATTGTATAGTGGACTTTGTGTAGCTGTTTTCAGTCCGGTTAACACGAAGTGTTTGGTTCATGAAGCATGATGTGAACCACTTATCTCGACAACACTGACAGGGGCGGAAACCAATAATCATATCCGGGGCTTGTCGTTGTTGTCTATAGAATTCTGACAGAAGTTTGTTTAATCTCATTACTAAAAGATGTCAGCCACGTGAAGCAGCAAATAGATTCGTTCTTGAGAATAACGCATTACAACTGCCAACAGCGCCGACATGTCTTCAAGCCATATGTATCTTAATCTTAATTATATCACTGATCATGGGTCAATGTGTTCCGTCATGAAACAAGATCTGGGCACACTTAGGCTGTGTTTCCTTCATTCAACACACGCCGCGCTGATCACAGCTGGTGACTTTCTAATTCGTGCTGGAATAATGCAGTTGTTTGGCTTATTAACGAACATCGTGGTCTTTACTAAAACTAGCACGTGTTTAGCAGATAGGTTTCGTTAACATTTGTATGCTTGTTGTCAATGAAGCCCCGACAAAAGAATGGGTCTGAATCCCAATGACTCCTTAAATGGATTGAGATAATTTGTGTCATCTAGCAATGCCACATATACCACAAATATATATTCTGAATATAGGAATCTTAAACATATATATTTATAATATTTTATTATGAATTCTGCTAAAAATTGTATACATGATGTTAAACATCGAAGCTAACACTGCATCTTATGTATCTATATGAATGAAAAAGAATTTATTCATTAAAGTTTTTAATTTCAATTAATTAATTTGTCGAGGATTAAATTGTTCATTTCATGAAAGAGAGGGTGAGAGATTTGCTCATAATCTGAATGAAAGGTACATGTTCCTCTCATCAATGCCTTCTGTTTGTGTTTGCAGAGACCATATAATCTATTATATGGTCTCTGGTGTTTGTGCTACGAGGGGCGTTCAAAAAGTAGTCAGCCTAACAGTATTCCAAATTAGATGTCCAATGTTAGAAAAGCTTCCATTTTATTTTGAAGCAATTATTAGCAAAGCCATATCCAAAATTTCGCATATTTGGGGAATGTGGTTGCAACACATTAGGGTACAATATTTCATAAAAAATTGCAGAAAATGAAAAACGATCTGTCATTTGGTACCTCTTGAATAACGGTATTCCCTCAGATAAGGTCATATGCAATATGTTCAGTATAGTATTGGATGACTTCCCGTCATAATCAGCATTCAGAGATTTGGATTGATTGATATATTTTTAGACGGGGCTGTTTTTAAAGGACACCCCCATTTTAATCTTTCAAAAACATTGTGTCCAGATATTCGAGCTGGCCCTGTTTACAATATACTGAGAGCTGACACTTGTGTGACCATTCAGTACTTATAAATACACAGTGCCATTTAGAAAGTGGTCAAATATAACATATGTTATATTCAGTATTTAGTTTGAACCATCATGTATGAAAAGTTTAAAACATTACAATAAGTTATGTCCTTCCTCTCAGTGGGGGTGGGTAGTGTCTCCAAAACGAGCTCTTTCAGTAAACATGAAGTGGGGAGTCACTTTCTAAAGCGATTATAGTTACAAATTTATGCAGTTTAATATCTAAGTTTGATTCTAAAGGACTTCTGTCTATCTCAAACACACAAAATGTTTCTTGCACGTTTTGTTTTCTGAAGTTTGTGATGCATTTATTGCAGATTTTGCGTTTTTGGGGGGATACCAAGATAGAACGTCAATCAAAATGGGGATCGTGAGGCTTGAACATAGCAAAACCAATGAATCCGTTTTTAGCCTTGTGAACATTTAACGTCATCAATATCATGAAAATTTGTAACAGCCAATGTGGCATGGGAACTATGTGCATACGTACTCAGTGTTTTCAACGTACGAAAATAGTGGATTGGACATTCCAGCAAATTAATTATTAGTATCTTTTGATGATCTATATTAATAGTAATGTACTGAGTGTAAATAGGTGGACCTTACCTCAAGATGTTTGTTAATAATGGGTGGGTTGGCCATTTCCGAAATTAAACACTCACAAAAATTGATGATTCTCATCAGAAGCAGGGGGGCGGCAGGATAGCCTAATGGTTATTGTGTCCCTCTTCACGCTGGGTTCGATTCCCCACATTAGGACAATGTGTGAAGTTCATTTCTGATGTTCTCCGCCGCGCTATTGCTGGAATCTTGCTAAAAGCGGCGTAAAACCTTATTCATTCACACACACACACCCCCCCCACCCACACCCACACCCCCCCCACCCACACCCTTTAAAAGCATCTATTTTAGATTTACTTCCGTGATGTGACGTCACTGGTGTCGTCGTCATGTGACTGCTGGGCGAGGGCGTGGCTGGATACCCGGATGGCTGGAATCCCTCGAAGTACAGTGACGCAGTTGGTAGTGTATGGACGCTTGTGTGAGCCTCGATCTCCATCTTGATTGTGTCGCCTGCACCGAGGTCCTTGTTGTAATTTTTGTTGGCAATGACAAACTCCCTCCCATTGTTAAGTTTCTGAACAACGTGAGCATCCCATATCTGACGATGAGGAAACATTTCAATACCTTTATTGTACTAGGGCATTTTGATATGTTTAAAACTTACCATCAAATATGCAACTTTTCCTTTTTAACACAGATGTAAACATATGATTAAGAAAGAAAGAAAACATGTTAGTTTAAGCTAGGGGTGGGTATTGCAAAGAATTTTCATATTGCGATATATTGCGATGCAAAAGCATTATTGCGATGTGTATTGCAATATATTGCAAGATGTTTTTCTTAACAAAAAACTACTTATAATCGAGTTAATGTTTGATTTATAAAGCAAAACCACAACAAAATCACTATGCTTGATTCACCTTAATAAAAACATTTTATGATGACAAAGTAAAAATGTAAATAATATTTGGCACAAATGAAACAAGTAAAAGAACTTAACAATCCAGTTAAATGTAATTTTCACCACGATCATTTCCACCACCCTTACCACAATTTCCACAATCATTAAGATTACCGAGTGTTACGAAGGTTTTCCAAATGCATGTCAAAATTTTCGATCAGCGTATCGCAATACGTATCGTTTTCATGTGTGAACCGGTATATATCGGTAAACCGGTTATATTGCGCAGCCCTAGTTTGAGTTCACTGGACTTCGATTGTGATTATACTGAACAAAATTAAAAACTTGACACATGTTAAAGTGAACCCTACAATGGAAGCAGTGTGTGCAATATTATGGAAATAGATGTGTATCAAACAGCGCTCATCCAGGGCCCCGTTTCACAAATCTCTCGTAAGCCTAAGAGTTCGTAACTTTCCTCGTAGCATTCCTACCCCCTATACTGTAACACTGACTTACGATAGTCGTAGCGCTACGACAGTTTTGTGAAACGAGGCCCAGGTAACAAAAAGTGGATTGCACTATCATGCTATTGGACGTTCTATGAGTTTTCACACCCACCCACTTATGTTAGAAGTTGCGGCGTAGCGGGGCCTACAAATAATCACGGGCAGTTAAAGTTAGGAAGAGTTGAAGGATTTCAAACCTCACTGAACATCATTTTAACCAATCAGATTGGCTTATACATTTTCGTCTGTAATTTATAAGCTTCCATTGTGAGTCGTTCAAACATACATTAATGAGTAATATCTGCATGTACACATTGTATAAGAAACTATTTTACATTATCATGTAATTGAGGGTGTTATCGGTGCAATAAAGCAATCTGATAAACTTATTATCCAAATCTGATAACTATGCAAATTACGTCAATCCACGAACTACTTTCACAAAACTCCATACATTCCATGCGAATCTTAAAACGTTAACATTTCATTGATGACGTCGTCGCGAGTTTACATTGCGTGGACGACACATACCGGCGCAGCGATGACTTAGCCCCATGGAACTCTGGGTAGGAGAGTGCGTGGACGAGTTTGTAAACAAACATGGCTGTCCCCATTATCAAAATTGGTGATTCTGTAAGAACTGATGACAGAGGTTCTGGAGTCGTTACTGCAGTAATTGACTTTAGAAAACATGAAACGGAGTACTTCGTTCAAATTGAAGGTACGGATTATGAGGCACGAGTGAAAGGCGATCGTCTAAGGAAGGTACAAACCAAGGATTTCGATCGATCGATCGATCGATCACAACAAAGCAGATGACGAATCCATTTCGTCAGGTATCAGAAACTGATATTGATGAGGTGATTACTCGCAATGAAAATAGAAACACTGCCAAGAAAACCCTGCCTGATTTTGTTGTTCTTTTTAGACAGAAAGATCTTGTTTTAGGCACGAGTTATGTTTGCACGGTATTAGCGACTCGTCGCAACCATATTCCGCTGCCATGAACGACCTTCACCTTTAGTGAACCGCTCAGTATTCGTGTGCTCGATTCTCTACATATAAATTCACGTACGATTTGCTTCTTTTTTTAGAGTAATTTTAAGAATGACATTATTTTATAAAGAGATAACCTCGTGTGTTTCTGTATCATTAATATCATATATTAGGAATAAACACTCATGGAAACGAATAAGCGAACACATGAAAGTACAAGTGTTCCTTTATTTATTTCAAGAATTTCACCCACAGTACAATACATACATTGTGAAGAAACCTGGAAAAGAATAAAGGAACACTTGTACTCTCATGTGTCACCTTATTTGTTTCCATGAGTATATCAATGATACGGAAACACACTCGGTTAGTACTCTCTATGTAGGAAATTACATAACATTGATTTATTTTTAACCAATCCTTATCAAGGGTACATCAATGTTGCCGAAAGAAAGTTCAGCAGCAATAAGGTCAACCGATAAATATGTGCTCACGTCTATTTTGTTGACGGGTGTTGAAAAAAGGACATGCACCCTCCATCCATGCAGTGCCTTTGGTGCGTGGAGAATTAGGTCAGCTAAAAATCCATGGTCCAGTTTCTGCTTTATGACCACTTCACACTGACCAACCACAACACAAACAACAAACAAGTACACACTGGCTCTCATGGCGTCTTGCTTTCTTGTCCGACTTGCCTTATCTAACGATTAAGCATTTACCGTCGGCTGCCCAGTCCATAGATAGACAGGTCTGTAAAACTGGCGTCTGACCTAAGTTCTGTTTCGCTACTATCAAAACTCTCCACTCCTTCTTTTTTCAAATAGTTTGTATACGTCTTTAAGAATATCGCGCAACGTTGATCTAAGTTTAATAAAGATCTAAAATACCAAGGATGTCCAATTAAACATGGCATCAGAAAACTGTATGTTTGTTTCTCCATCATGCGAAGCGAAGAAGCTGCTGATTGATCGACCACTTGATTGATATCGATGCATCTGCACTGAAGCGTCACATATTGTACTAAATAAGTATAACCACAGATCTTTCCCCTTTCTGAGCAGCTAATCTAATATAAAGAACGTCTCCCGTAAACACTGTTGTCATCAAAATAACTTAAGACATTCTGTCTAGATAGAGCAACTAAATTTCGCAATTACAATCTTCACAATAATTAGGGATTTTATGAAGATCTACGTAAGCTATTTTCGTGTACTATTGGTGATAATACAATTATATTTAACTTTATTACACTTTTACATTTTAATGTGTATTCTGACTAGAAGGTATATTGAGTACATGTCCACTCGAGTACTATATATATTAGAGTGTGCTGACGTTGGCCGCCTTGGAACTTTCTGAAACTTGATTGTAAACATTTTAGCGTTGACTGGCTTTGGGTGATTATCTCGTGGTATATTTATTCAGGTATGGTGTTGAGTGGGTTGGTTGTATTCAGTGGTAAGTCTGCTAAGCGAGTCGATTCCCTAGTTCGTTATGATAAATATGCGACCATGAATCATTTTTTCAAATAGCGATGAGGTATCCGTATCTCCACCAGTAGAACACGTCACAAACACATGAAAAGGCAAGTCATTTATTCACTTCTCTCAGACGATTTGTGATGGTTTGGTCGGAAATCCTTCGAAGACTAGGCAACTGTCCTGTAGTGACGTAGGTGAACTACCGGATAAAACCGGCCTGAGTAGGAGTGGTCCCACTTGGTCTTCCACTTCTGGGACGACCTTGGGTCGAAGTGAAGCGGGTATGTCGAAGTGAAGCGGGTATGTCGAAGTGAAGCGAGTATGTCGAAGTGAAGCGAGTATGTCGAAGTGAAGCGAGTATGTCGAAGTGAAGCGAGTATGTCGAAGTGAAGCGGGTATGTCTAAGTGAAGCGGGTATGTCGAAGTGAGAGCGGGTATGTCGATGCCATAATCAAGGAGTTGTGATGGACGTTGCCTTGCAACGGCAGACTAGGACTCCCCTGCTTCCAAACGTCCAATGACGATATTTCAGTCACTAGCACTCAATCTTGCCATTTTCTATCTTCGTTTACGTCACAAAATTTTATAATGAAATGATGAAGTTGGTTTGTCCTTTTATAGTTGATGCCTCTACACATGTTTCCGACATTGCACGTGCAGTTTCTATCGTTTTCATTCTTACGTGTTTACAAATTTTGGTATGCGTCAAACGTTCGTTTTCACATTGGTGATTTTGAGTGAGTGAGTTTAGTTTTACGCCGCACTCAGCAATATTCCAGCTATATGGCGGCGGAATTGTCTTAATGACGATTGCTGACAAATATATAAAAATGAACTGCTGGAAGATTAATGATTGTATTCTCTGTCTTCTATAAGACGCGGAGACACAGTTTTGGTTTCCTGCCGCTTCAGGTTTTAAGATCATTGAATATTCTAGTTGACGACGTGTAAATGCCCTTTGATGGTTTCATTAGACACCCGTCAGATGGTAATAAGTCATGGTGAGTGTGAAAACCCTGCATTGGCACCCCGTGAAGACAAGTTATCATACACAGTACTAATTACTTCAGTTGCCTGGCGTATGGCGAGAATCTCGTCTTTCACGTTCCCATTTGTTTGCAAGTAATAGTCACAGACGACAGTAAATCACTAACGCTCAAACGTCAGTTCCCAGCCACCAACGGTCAGATGGCAGCAGCATATAATCAACAGTCAGAAGTCTGCCCTCAACAGTCACAAGCCAGACGTCAGCATTCCGCTGTCAGTTGTCATACTCCAGCCCTCAGTAGTACGGTCTACACTGAGCAGTACGGTCTACACTGAGTTGTACGGTCTAGATTCAGCAGACAATGGTCTACACTCAGTAGCCAACGGTCTACTCTCGGCAGTCAACGGTCTACTCTCGGCAGTCAACGGTCTACTCTCGGTAGTCAACGGTCTACTCTCGGCAGTCAACGGTCTACTCTCGGCAGTCAACGGTCTACTCTCGGCAGTCAACGGTCTACTCTCGGCAGTCAACGGTCTACTCTCGGTAGTCAACGGTGTACTCTCAGCCGTCAACGGTCTACACTCCGCAGTCAACGGTCTACACTCAGCAGTCAACGGTCTACTCTCAGCAGTCAACGGTCTACTCTCGGTAGTCAACGGTGTACTCTCAGCCGTCAACGGTCTACACTCCGCAGTCAACGGTCTACTCTCAGCAGTCAACGGTCTACTCTCGGTAGCCAACGGTCTACACTCGGTACTCAACGGTCTACACTCAGTAGTCAACGGTATACACTTAGTCATCAACGGTCTACTCTCGGCAGTCAACGGTCTATACTCAGTAGTCAACAGTCTAGTGTTGACAGGTGCGAGTTGTTGATTGTCTATATTCAACAGTTGACATTCATCTGTGTGGTGTGTCTTCAGTAGTCAGAAGAAGTGTTCATATCTTACACAATGGATGGAATTGATATGATCACAAATTTAACCAATCCTGGTCAAAATAGGACTCCTTTTACGAACGCCTCAGCTGGTGAACATTCATTCCTGATACCAACCAACCCATTGTCTGTACACCTGACGATAGGAGCGAGCATGATACCCTTAATTCTACTGAGTAACCTTGGCATAATTTGTACAGTCATCTTCTCAGCGTCTTTAAAAAGACCCAGCTACGTCCTCGTCTCCAGCCTCGCCACTGCTGACCTCGCCGTCGGTGCTGTCGTTCTTCCTTATAATATTCTGTTGAATTATATGACTGAATTGAAGACCTCAAATGCTGGATGTGTAATGAATTTTTGTTTTTGGATCTGGGGACTGGGTCTATCCATCACTCACCTCTTTGCCATTGCGACTGAACGTCTCGTAGCTATCCAGTTTCCCTTTGTCCACAGAACGTCGTACACAACGTCGAGGGCTGTTACAGTTGCCGTTTTTGTTTGGGTAATCTGTAGTGGCCTTGGATTTGGCGCTTTAAGTTTCTTGAACAGTAAGGAATTCAGTTGCAACATGCAAGAAATGCTGGCAAGTGTGTTCGGTCGTGTATTGACCATCTGTCAAATCCCCTTGATCCTGTCCACTGTGTTTATATATATCCGAGTGCTGTGGGTAATCCGGCGATCTAGAAACATGAGGACACATGTGATAAGTGCAAGCGTGATTGCTGAACGTAGAAGGTCCATTGCATCCTTCGTGGTGTTTGTCTTGTTCCTCGTGTTCTGGTTACCAGTTTCATTAAATGGAATACTTTCAAGGATTCTAGGTGTCAGAGACTTGTCACTCTCCAAATATCTGTCTCTTCTCGCCGCAGCAAATTCCTTCGTCAATTCCATCGTGTACGGCGTGATGAACAGAGAGATGCGGGCGGTGTGGAAGAAGACTCTCAAGTGTGGCCGAGCCGCTTCTGAAACCCGAGGCCTCCAAGTAAGGGTGGACGTATCTCGGCCATCCCTCCCCGAAGGAGCAGGTGTTTCTGCAGCAGCTGGGTGTAGCATTGTGAGCGACAATACATCTACACCCACAGTGGTTTCCATGGTGACTCTAAGTAGTGCAGATGAAGCATAAGAAGTAAACTGACTAGGACCAAACACACCATGACAAATACCCGAACCTAACAGGGCCGGTAAATCTCGCGAGGCGGTACTTCCCGTACTAAGCTTGTTCCCGGCTCCCTTTGCGCGCGCCAACTTGCGGGACCCAGCTTACTTCCGGTATCAGATTTCCGATAACAAGCGTATATTCAAGAACCAGTTCTGGTTCCTAATTGCGCGACGGCCAAATACGACTACTAGACGGGACCGAGTGTACAACCATGCTTGGCTGTCACAGCTGTTGAAAGTCGTTATTGTTGGCTAATTTGGGGGGTGGTCAGATCGGAAATGTGTTACTCCTTCATTGTCGGTTTCTTACTGTCAACTGACCACCATGAGACCATTCGAAAAGGTATGAAACGTTGTTTGTCATCGGAAGTACTAAGGTCTGGTGAAGTGCCGTGACCTAGTTACGGGCCTTCTATCACACCAAACACCCACCCGAGCAACCGTTGTTGTAAGGATCTCTCAGCAAAAAAGACTGTTCGACATGTGGTATATTCACTTGTATGCAGTAACAGTACATACACCATAAAACATCTACCATAAAACAGATCTAAAGCATATAACAAACTTTAGAAAGGCATTCGATTCTGTGGATAGATGACGATTGCAGTAATTATTTGGTGGCAAATGTATGTTATGCTTATAGACATTATGTTACGGACCGCCTCCGTGGTGTAGTGGTTAGAGCATCCGCCCGGAGAGCGCAAGGTCGCGGGTTCGATCCCCGACCGCGTCATACCAAAAGACGTTAAAATATGGTACATGTTGGTCCCTGTCTGGCGCTCGGCATTAATGGGTACAACAAGGACTGGTCGGCTCGGAGTCAGTATAATGTGTCTGAGTGGGTATCCATGCTTCACTGCGGCATGGTATCTCAGTGGGCTAGCACTATAAAACCAGCTTCAGTCTGGGCTAGTACAAGCAGCCGCACCTTACACACACACGCATGCGTCGTCATATGAGCGAAATATTCTCAAGCACGACGTTAAACCCAATTTCACCACACCACCTCACCTACATTATGTTACAATGTTACATTTAAGTAAATCGGTGTTGTATCAATAAGAACAAAGGAAGCTTTCTGTCAA